TTAAAGCATATTTTAGAGTCTTGATTCTTTGGGGGATTGCTAGTCTACTATAATTGTACTGTAAATCAAGCAATCAAGTATAGCATTGTGCTACAGTATATTCGCGTTATTTTGACCACCAGCTCAACACACAAATGGTGATAGAATCAAGCAAATGGGTATATGCGTTACATGAGTATCCTTACTCTAAGCCAAACGCCCACCAGTGCCGTATATGCAATGCCGTTGATCCGCCCTTTCATTGCGCCCTCATAGCACCTATACCTTTTCATAACACCGTATACACCCAAAATAACGAAAAGAAATTAGTGGCAACGCCTTTAATGACCTGGTAAAGCTTCATGTGCTAATGCGCAGGCTTCCTCAAAGGTAGCCTGAGCTTCTGTTCTCTTTCCAGAAATGTCATAGAATTGCGCCAACAACCCTTCGGCGACAGAAACCCATAGCTTGTTCTTGCTATGGTTGGCTTGCTTTAGTGCAGCCAACGCACTCTTTTCCGCCTGATCACCTAGGCAGTTATTGAAGAATTTACTACACATAATGTTGAGGACGAGACATAAAAATTGCGTATTGTGTGATGCCTTCGCCTTAGCCAAGGCCGCAGATAGGTGGCTCTTGGTTTCATGGATCATAGCGGAAGAGCTGGTCCTGACGGTCGCCCTAATCAGTGAAAATGCTGTCTGGATATCTTTGGTAGGGTGGTTGACGCAATATGGTCCCAGTTTCGAAATAAGCATGTGGTTCTTCATTGGATCTTGCCAGTTTTCGTCTTGTAGGATCAAAAGAACATTGAGAGCGGCGAGAATTGCAATATCACGCTCGATCTGATCTTCCGAGGCCGAGTCGCTACCTTCTGGTAATTGCAACATCTCATGTTGGAATACTTTTAACGCGGCCTTCAAGTCACCAGTCCCTTGGAGATAGACCCCTTCGAGATAAAAGGCAAGAGTCCCTAGACGCCCCGACAAAGGAACTTCGAATTTTTCTGCAGCCGCCGCCATATGAGTCATAGACTGTTTTACTCGTGTCCATTCTCCCACAGCAGCGCAACAGAACGTCATATATATGTGTGAATAACATAAAATGTGGCCACGCCATTGCTGTTTCGCAATGATTTCGGATAATAGACCTGGAGAAGCTTTGGAAACTCGAGAACCATCTCCTACGACAAACGTTAGCGTCGAAACATAGAATAGGAGATGCAAAGTACCTTTAAGTCCTGCCAGACCTTCTTGTATGAACTTCACGGCTTTTTGGTCGAGCGGATTCTTATGCATCAAAACTATTCCTGATAGTAGATAACTATGATAATGTTAGAACTTGATAGAATGAATGGAACAGTATGTGATACGAACGTTAAACCATATGCATCTTTCTTATTTAAGAATGACATGACAATTTGGCCTCGCCCATCCTCCCTAGTACTCAAGACATTCCGGGTATCTTGGCTGATCAGATGCTTGACTTTGTGGACACTGTCAATAGGTATTGCGAGAGTGTCATTTTCCGTACTCCATGCCGGGTTCTTTAGTAGATCATCCATAACGAGCTGCATTGCCCTCAAAGTACTTAGCATCTGAGTTGGATCTCCACGAAGTATACTACAAATAACATCAAGAATATGGGTAAGACCGATGAGTTGAGGTATGTTGCTTTTGTTGTCCAGTTGATAGGTTCGTGCCGCCGCGATTGCTCGTTGAACATGTTCGATTTCATGAACCCCCGAAGACTTCAGATGGGCAAGCGCTTCCATAAGAGACGCGACAATATGCACAGAACGATCACCTTGCTGGTTTGCAAGATTTGAGACACCTCGAAGATTTTGGATAGCCGCATGATTGTCCGTTGAGGTCCCTGATTGCAGTGCGTGGGACGCTCTCAAAAATCGAAATACATAGACCCAGGAATTGTGCTGACAACTAATATAAATTAGTGACAGCAAAACCGCAATTGGCATTAAATACCTACGCTTGTGCATCAACGATGTGGCTGTCAAGTGTTTTCATTGACGCTTTTGGATTCTTCTCAAACATTAATCGAGCGAGTAAGAACTGCATTACATATTTGAGATCGTAGTAATGATTCTATTCTCGTGTTAGAACCCTCAACCACGGAAATAAAAAAATTGGTTCATACCCTTTCGCAAAGTAGTATACCTTGACCAAGCATGGTCTCTGCCTCCGCATAGTTGCTTGTCTCTTCATAAACAATGCCAGCGATCCGCAGTCGAACCTTAGCTTCCAATCTTGCCGGCAGCTTCAATTGCTTCAAAGCAATCGTTAAACACTCCAACCCCAGAGTAATCAGTTTGTGATATTCATGGACATTCTTTTCCGTCATGGCCACCGCTACTGCGGGTGCAAGTTCATGCGCCGCGCCGAAATATTCCTCTGCGAGCGAGACCATGAGTAGAGGATAATCAAGTGGCGCATTCGAAGGTTTTGAATGTGCCATTTGAGGATTGGCTTGTCCCGCTAAAACATTCGAGGAAGATTGTATGCGATATTGCGGGGAGCGTTGATCGATAGGATAATGTTGTTGAATGGGTTGCGGAATCTGAACTTGGACTTGAACTTGAGGTTGATAATATTGTGGTCCTGTGGACGGAGCCGTATAGAAATTATTAGGTGCATAACCTGTCGCTGGCATATCATACTGAAGTTGCGCATTCGAATTCCAATAGGGCGTTTGATCCCGCTGCATATTTCCTCCCATCTGGTATTGTTGCATGCTTCCACCATTCTGTATCATCATATCGTTGTTGCCATATTGAGGGGAGGTATCCTGCGGAGGATATGTATTTGGATCATACCCGGACCAGATATTGGGCAAGTCATGGTCTCGAGACATAGTTTGCCCCTCTCTTTATCAAAAGCACCTCACAATCTACCAGCGGAGTAGTAAATTATAATAATAGAATGAATATACAATATCGTCTCGAATCAAATATAAATATATGTTCAAAAGCATTTCCCAAATATCATTGAAAGGATGAAATGACATAAGAATCTCTGCAAGGGTGATGTAAGAATCGACCAATGAACATCGAAATGTTTCACCGAGGTCCGTCCAATTATTTATTTCTCCATGATATAATATTGGAAGTGGGCGAGAAGCAAAAGGAGGTTTGTACAGGCGTATGTATGTACTTCACTTCGTACAAATTTGCAAAACTTCCCTTCTTTTCGTTTTGTATCAATCTGTCCCTTCTGTCTATATTTTCAGTTGATTTCATGTTGTATTATACAATCTAGATATCTATCTTTCGTAGCCAGACCATCGTCCATTACGCCAAAAATTGCTCTAGAAGCTTTCCAAGGTTATTTGTAAACCAATTAGGATGGAGTGGCTGGGACATGCAAAGATTGGATTTACCCATTCTCCAAATCCCATCGCCCTCAAAAGTAAAGATGGCTCAACAACAGATCTTCTTAAGATTTGCGAAGAGTCCACACCACCATGTCGTCTCAACCCCCTTTTATTCAATGGTAATGAATTTCTTCTAAGCAATGAAGGGTTGCCTGAAAGTGCTAACTCTATCAGGTCACCTACAAACAATGTGGACAGTCATAAAGAATGACGGACCTCCTATCTTCTATAAACGAAAGTTATTTGAAAATGAAGACCCAGCCTACCAAGGCTCTTTTGCCGTTGATTTTGTAGTCCATGAGCCATATTCAGAAGTTGATGATTCTTTACCCATTCGAACTACCTACTATACGGATGAAGAGTTCTCGGGAATCGCATCATTGGATAGTCGGCCAATGCTCGTGACTTTACATGGACTTTCAGGCGGCTCTTACGAAATCTATCTCAAGCATGTACTGGAACCTTTGATTGGAGCCGATCATGCTTCCAAGTGGGAAGCATGTGTTATCAATAGTCGTGGATGTGCCAAACACAAAATTACGAGCAGCCACTTGTACAATGCGAGGGCTACATGGGATACTCGGCAAACGATTGCTTGGCTCAGAAAGACCTTCCCTAACAGACCTCTGTTTGGTATTGGGTTTTCACTCGGGGCGAATATTCTTACCAATGTAAGGTTGCTCGCACTATTTTTCTTCCACCTCAATATCGTTAACATATTTTAATTTTAGTACATTGCCGAAGAAGGAGATGCGTGCGTCCTCAAAGCCGCTGTTGTTTGTTCCAACCCATGGAATTTGGACGCCGGATCTCTAGCTCTGCAAAGGACTTGGATTGGACGAGAGGTCTACTCCAAGACCATGGGTAGCAATATGAAGAGGCTGATTGAAATTCACCATGATCAAATCAGCAAAAACCCGGATATCGACTTCGACAAGATTAGAAACATTACATATCTTCACGAATTTGATCGACAAATTCAAGGTCCAGCTTGGGGCTATCCTACAGAAGGTGCATACTACCGAGATGCATCATCAACGGATTCCCTCCTCGCTGTGAGAATTCCTCTCTTCGCCATAAATGCTGAAGATGACCCTGTAAGTATCACTTCTCTTGGAGCTCATCGAGACACTCACTAACATGTATTCAGATCGCCACCGGCGAATGCTTACCGCGCGAAGAAGTCAAGAAGAATCCATACACGGTATTGTGTACCACGTCTTTAGGTGGTCATTTATCATGGTTTGAGATTGGTGGTCATAGATGGCATGCCCGCCCAGTAAGTTAAAGCTTCTTGAAACTACGTAACTACCGCTAATCAAAACGAAGTGCGTCAATTTCCTAAACAAAATGGCCTTCGAAGTACAACTTGACACAATTGTTCCTCCTGATGAACACGCATCCACTGATTTGAGCCCCCCTCGTCCTAAATTTCAACCAATGGTACGAAAGTGGACTTGAGGCCCTTAATTTGAAGCAGATGTGTTGAAATATAGCGAGGCATGTTTTATAGACTTTATTGAGACATATCTTAGCAATCTCTCAAATATAGTAATAATCTAATGTCAATAAACCGCTGGTATTTCTCTCAAATGCCAATTTTTAATATCCTCATCCCACCAAAGGTTTCACCAAAGGTGCATTCGCCATAACGCCCGAATATAATTATGCCTGCCTGCCTGCTTGCCCCTCTCCGTGATAATTCGCAATTGAAAGTCCGTAGTTCAATCTCTCAAGCAAACGAAACGGTCTTCTTCTTAGGCTTCAAAGGTTTCGTTCCAGCCACCGCGACATGCTTGGGAGTCTCGTCCTCATCATCTCCTCCTCTCTTCCTCTTTTTCCTTAAGTCATTCTTTACATCGCTTAATTTATCCTTCATCATCAGCTGTTTCTTGTCATGCTCGATCTTTCTCGCCTCTCGGATCTCTTCCATTTGTCTGGCTCTCATCATTTTGCTCTCAATCTGACCGTCCTTATCCGCGTTTACCATTGCGAGAATGGTCATCATGGATTCCTGTTTTCGCAATTGATTAGCCCATACTCATGTAAACCATTAAATGATGCAATGACCAGATCCCAATTAGAAATCTCTCAATTCCTCATGCCTCTGCCCACTTCTCCCCGAAAAACACCATGATGAAAACCCTCAAAGACTCACCCTATCATCCACGAAAACCTTCCCCTTCTTCTTTCCCTTTGGCTTCTCCACTCCCACCGGTGTAATCATATTCAGCGCCGGGATATCCAACTCCTTCTCCGTATAAACTCTCCTCTTCTTCTTCAACGTCGCCAATTTACTGCCTTGTTTCTGTGGCTTCGGTGGCGCGCCCTTGGAATGTGTTGCGTTTTTGCCTTTTGGTTTGACTACTCCGTCGCTCTGAGATCGTGAAGTGGTTTTGCTATTGCGGATACCAGAGCCGTTGGTGGCATGTTTCGACGAATGTTTGTTTTTGACGGTACTGGTGCGGGAGGGCGCCATGGTTGTGGTGATAATTGGTGGTAATTGGTGAGGTTGTGGTGCGGTGATGCGATAAAAGATTTAGTGATATGCGATGGATTTGATGGAAATTTACTTTTTTTGCCAAGAAGCGGCGAGCTAGCGGACAGAGGGGTGGGGGAATAAACCTCCCCGCGAAACTTTAGAGACACCCTGCTTCAAATTTAATTTTCCTAGATTTGATAACTGTTTGGAAGTAACACAAACATTTACATTGTGTAGTTTACAAAGTTCGGACAAGAGAGTTCTGAACATGGATTCTATTTGCTTATAATTCTCGTTCTAATCCTAAAACTAAATTCTATCAATGGCTTCCCCATATCATGGTTAAATGTAGGACTCTAGATTGACAGCCATCTTTCCGGCCCTTAAAATCAATCTGGTTTCGTCGAACTTTCTTTGTGGCAAATCAATGTATGTGCCAGGCCGCAGTTGTTGTCTTCCAACTCAGCGTTAAATCTCAACTGAATAAAAAGCTCACCGAGAGACTTGCTTGTCATATTCATCCATCCCCTCCTTAAGTACTCAAAGTACCCTTTGTACTTGGAACCTCACCTTCTCTGCCCGCAACCCTCGAGGTCGCCTGTCTAATTGCCACAGCGAATGCCTTGAAAGCACTCTCTGCTCTGTGATGATCATTATCACCCCTCAAACAATCCACATGTAATGTAATTCTTGCGCCCTGTGCGAAACTCTGCAAACAATGGGGTATCATTTCACAGCTCAAATCTCCAATCATCTCTCTCTTAAGTCCCAAATCTATCACACTGAATGGTCGATTCGAGATATCAACAACGGCTCGCGACAGTGCCTCGTCGAGGGGGCAGTATGCGGATCCAAAACGAGCGATGCCTATAGGAGTCCCGAGGGCTTTTGCAAATGAGGTACCAAGTGCAATACAGACATCTTCGGCGGTATGGTGATCATCGACTAAAACATAAGTTAGTAGTTGCACATCCAGAGTCGCTTTCCCCCAGTAGAGGCAAAAAACATACTGTGTAGATCTCCCTTGCAATTGATTGCCAAACTCCAACCAGCATGTTTTGCCAAAGCATGCAACATATGATCCAGAAATCCGATGCCCGTGTGTATAGCGATATGCTGCGATTTTGATACCTGTGAAGCGTGTCCCTCCTCATCACCCAATAATTTCTTATCGGTATCTGCTGGAAATTCTCCTCCATCAAGATTGATCGCAAGTTGAATGCTCGTCTCGTTTGTGTCACGCGAGAGCGCCGTTGATCGAACTGGAGCCATTGTTTATGATTGATGTGATTGAGTGAGGTTTATGGTTAGAGGGGTTTTTTAATATAACTCCAACTCCAAACAAATACTGACTCCCAAAAAATATATACTGGGATTGACAAACGGAAAGAGCCGAGGCGGTATGACGTTCCAATCATAGTCAACGGGATTTGAAATCCACTCATCGTGCTTGTTTGACTTCCATTCTGCAGGAATATAAATGCAAACAAAGGTACAACATGCACCAAACTGGTGGATTAAGAAGTGAAGAAGCAAATGCTGCAGCGTGGGAAGGTGGGAGGGGTGCTGTAGCTGGTAGTGCAAAGGTATTCAATTCTCATGCATTTTTCGTCGCCAGATTTTGAGGATGTTTGTTGATGGTGATGGTGATGCTGTAGTGGGGCTTGTTTGCAGCTGCATTGGGAGGTGCTGGATATGCCTTTTCTCCGATATACAGAGGTTTGACGATTCAATTCAAAGTGTGAGTTTAGGAATTCGGATGAAGGTGTATTAGCTAATCAAATTCGAATAGATTCATCCAGATGGGCTTTATGGTCATGGGAGGTTCTCTGGAAGCTGATCGACGCATAAGAGGATATGAAGCAAGAATCCGAATGGAGAGACGTAGTATTAGGGACCAAGCTCTGTGGGATCAATCCGAAGAAGAGTATGAGCAATCCGTTTCAAAGCAGAAAAAATCATAGTAAAATTGTACTCATAAGGAGTTTTCATGGGACTTGCTTGTACATAAACCAATATCATACCTAAAGCTCCAAACTCCCCGGTCATGCTTTTCCTCGTATTTCCCATTATTTAGTAACGAACTGTCTCGGATCCATATTCAACTTGCAAAGTCTTGCAATGCAACCACTCAACTGCAGCAGTGTTTGAACTCCCTCCAGAATCTTCATATGGGTGAATCCAATTTCCTTGATGAACTCCAGCTTAGAATGCTCACTCAAGGTATTGACCGTCTTCGTAACCCTGAACATCGTGCTGATAATATCGTGGCTCGAGTATCCCAAGTTCCACAACTCATTCAATATCTCCAATGCAGAATCGATTTTCCCCTCGTAGCATGCCTTAATCATAGCTTGTACTTTGATCGGATGAGGCGAGTCCACAACCTTGAACACATTATCTCCATTAATGAATTCAAATCCCGCAAAAGTCGACTGTAGATTATTGATAGCCTGTCGCATATCCCCCTCTGCACTGAAAACCAATGCAGCCAGCCCATCCTCACTATATTCTACTTTCTCCGCCTCAATAATCTGTAACAATCGTTTGACCACTTGCGCATCCGTCAATCTCGCATATCGTAAAATGGCACATCTGGATTGTAAAGGCTCAATAATCTTATTCGATTGATTGCACGCAAATGCAAATCGTGTAGTCGAACTGTATATCTCCATTGTACGACGTAAGGCTTGTTGGGCTCCAGATGTCATACTATCTGCTTCATCGAGGATAACGAGTTTATGGCGACCGGCGGGGAGTGTGACTTTCTTTTGCGCAAATCCTTTTATGCGGTTACGTACAACATCGATACCTGTTGATCTTAAAATCAGCATGATTGAACTCTTGAAGTTCTAGTTCTAAGGGATGATATACCTCGCTCGTCACTAGCATTCAACTCCAATACTGCCTCCTTGTATGAATCTCCTAGCAGCTGCCTAGCCAGACACAACACACTCGTCGTCTTTCCAATACCTGGCATACCAGAAATAATAACATGCGGCATGTTTCCATCTTTAGCTATAATTTTTAATCGTTCTATCGTCTCTGTGTTTCCTACTATATCATCGAGGAACACTGGTCGATATTTTTCAACCCTATTGGCTCGAATCAGTTTACTCTATGCACACACAAGAGATGTGAATACATACCATGGTAATTCATAATTCGTAACTCCGTTGGTATTAGCTTTCAATATCTTTTTTGCGGCACTGGTGGAGGATTCTCCAACTTCTGGGGCTTTCATGGCCGTCATATTGAGATTTTGCTGAAAGATGAAATGGAGGTTGACGCGTCGAAGCTGGAGAGACGCGATTTTCAATTTACACGACCGTGACAATTTCGAATAATGGGGTCTCCACGTGATTGGCTCACGACCACAACGAAATCTGGTTCAACTTATTGAGGTTCACCGTTTCAGGGCAGCATTTTACAAGTTAAATCCTGTTATCTGAATTTATATTCATCTTTAGATACTCCGCTCCTATAGTACAAATGAACCACTGATCGTTATGTTTCTGCCTCATGGCTATCATCTTCCTTGTCTCCATGATCATCTATAAGTAGAGATGCACTTTATCTATAGGATAGCACTCCGAGAGTTCGAGTTTGATGTACCGGTAGTAAGCTCTATCAGCAATTGGGAGGTTAATCTTATTTCAGTCGCATGTCTCACTTGTATTTCAGTAGTGTTTTGCGATGACTCTGTGAGCAAGTTGCCGAACTGTCTTTGAGACAGAGAACGGAGAACGGAGAACATATTAGCACTGATCATACCGACACTACCGGAGAAGTTCAAGCCCAGTGTTCGAGACTGACTTGCTACATATATCATACTCCTAAGTCTTTTTCAGGTATCTGGTCTTCATCTCTCTTCCACCCAATCAGCTTGATATTTTTTCTCACTCAAAAGATTTTGTTGCACGTCTGATGGACCTTTTAACTTTTGCAATTCTTACTCGAATTCAAATTTGAAAACAGTTTTGAAATCCAGATGCTCTCTTGATACCAAAGTAAAAGTTCCGGGGGGGTTTGAAAGAGAATTCAGAAAATTACAAATGTGTGATTTTTGTTTACTTTGCTCCTTTTCTTTTGTTTACATTTGGCCATCTGATCTTTTGACCTCGGCATAACAAAACACGGGATACGGATAGTGAATCAAGTGACAGAAGGTTGACAGTGAATTGAGTGAAGAGAGGAATGGAACTACAACCATGCCGTTATGGCTGGGTGGCTATGGCTGGGGTGGCTAAGAAAACAGTAGATGGGATGAGAAATGAAGCCAGAAATTGGGACCTCTTCATCGCAGACAAGGGCAATAAGCCAAGTAGCTTGACAGGGACATGATATTCTTTTCTTGTAGCGATTTCTACTTGATGATTTCAAAGCTCATCTGTATTGTTGATCCAGCAATTTATAAGTACATCCTACATACCCACAGAACCTTTACAAAGCTCCAACATATTCTTAAAATACACTCATCTCACTAAACATTCTTTTTACGATACTTTCTGGAACCTCCCTTTACCTTTTTGACTTGATGGTATAGTATTTTCGGCTCCACGAATCGTACAAAATCACTCACTGGAATTCGAATGCTTCCTTTCTCACTTCTAGCAAGAGCAAGGGGCTTTGCGAATGCGGGATAGATGTGCATCAATTTCGTCTTCGCGGACGTTATGTGATATCTCTTGTCTCTGAGTGACTCGGGTGGCTGGCTCTTATTCGCTCATCGAGGTCAAATGTTTTGAACAGCTTTGAATATTGACATGGTCTTTAAATTGCTTTATTTTATCATCCACAAGAGTGGATTCAGAACTGTACTCTTTTCTACCTTTCTCAATGTCATCAACTACCTCGTCAGTCAGTCTTTTACTAAATTATTTTTCTCTCGTCTTGGAAGCAGTTTTGGAGGCTATCATATCATTGAAATTTGTGAAGTCTGGAAAGTGATGCTTCCGGACCAGTCTTATCCTTGAGTGCTTATCACAACTTGGAGTAGACGTTATTATATTTCATCGATAACCCGGGAGAAACCACGAAATTGGCAAGATTATAGGATGCGGCCATCAATCATGAATGTTTATTGAAAATGTACCACATCAAGCTTCCTTGAAGGCGTGGGCCCCTGGTTCGGTCGCACCCTCATTGGGCGATAGTTCACGAAAAGCCGCGGCTTGTTAGGGTTCCAGTAGCGCTAGGTACTAACTTCCGCGTCTCAGACTTTCTTGGTGCTGTCTATAACGAAAGATGAAGAAACCCTACGGAAAACACTAGATTGATTGTCTGTTTCCGAGCCGCTAATTGAGATTGATGCAATGATGCTTTAAGAGACGATAAATTCTCTCACACACTCCATATTGCGGTTCGAAACAGGAATCTCTACGGTGTAAAACGGCTCTTGCGAATGGGTGGAAACAAGAAGATTTTAATAATTGATCAGCGAGTTGTTATCTCTGATGTCGTTAGGAAACATCTTCGTTGAAAAATCGCCCTCGATTACTTGCAGATCAATCCACGATTTTAGGCGAAGCACTTTCTCAATATATTCAAGACGGCTATTAGAGACCTCGACACATTGCTGCTCTTCTTGATACATTCCTTGGGAATGACATCAGAGTAATCTGGTTGAAGGTTATACTTGTCGACTCCGTTTCCAGCATCACTCTCCTTCACCTCTTATATATCATCCTAACTTCTACTGCTGACCGGAATATTTCTCTGGGAAATTTTGCAGATGATTACAATGTTGGAATATCCCCATTGTGGTCTACCCAAACTTCATATTATTTCTACAGCACACCCCTCCCCTCCCATCTCCAATCGACACCCATGATATCTCGGCAATACACCTACACACTACGCATGCGTAGTGTGTAAAAAGCACACCACAGAAGTCTTTCTATCCGCAGGCGCGGATCCTCGTACACAAAACCATTTCAGGGTTGACCTATCGCGGCTTCAAGCTGGGATGATATATTCTGCGAGGCCAAAGCTTTGGGACTTGAATTTGACACGGGGGTATTGTGATATTCGGAATTTCAAGAGAACGATATGGATGCGACGATATGGATGCGAAGGAGTAAGAGTCACAGAGGGAATTATATGAGAGCAATTGGTGGGGATGAGGAAGCCGCTTGAGGTCTCTAAAGTAAAGAGATATGGTATTAAAATGAGGTTGACGAGATTAGGTTTGGGTTGAGGTTTCTTGAGAGGAAATTTGTTGGGGGGGGAGAAGAGTTGTGGTGAAAATAGCACGGAGCTTGAAGAGGAATGATGTGGATGAGAAGGGTATGGACAATCAATGGTAGGGAAGAGAGGTAGGTATGGCAGTGGCAGTGCCAGGCTGCGCAAAGATAACTCCCAACCCACTTGAATTTCTCCATTACCCATGGGTACCCGTTGGGATTTCAAAATAACTCGCCCAGCGTGGGTTATCCGCAGATAATCTGCAAATAACCCACGGGTACCCATTCAGATTTTCCAATAACCCGCTCCGCTAGCTAGTAACCTGTGGGTTACCCATCAGATCAATAACCCGCCCCGCCTCGGTGGGTATCATAGATATCAGAGGTGCTGACTGATATTAAAGAAACCTTGTGATATATACAGTACATCAGCATCTTTGTTTTGTTTTGTTTTGTAACTTTTGTTTGGGAAACTCCATCCATAATTCCTACCTTCAACTTGTACACTGCTCATCGGATGGTAGTTATACATCATAAGAAATCATCATCATCTCATCATCTCAACCTTCCCATTACAGTCCAATCCAATCCAATTAAACATCCCTCAGATTCTCAGATCCCTCACATCTATATCCATCAAAATCACAAACAAGAACATCTCTCCGAGTACACCTACCTGCACCTACCTACAACTCTCCACATCATATTATAATGACTGCTTCACATATACAAGAACTTAATACTGTACTACTATTGAATAAGAAAACAACCACATTCATCCTCGACATCAATCACTCTAATGTGTGTGAACTCAAGACAAATCGCACAAATGTAATGGAATCAAATCAAACCAAAAACCTGCTTTCGTGTTTCCATCCTCCTCAATTCCTCGATTCCGCAATCTTACAATCAATTACTACTAGAGTAAAACTACAACTACAACCACAGTACCAGTACGACTGACTGTACGAGTTTATTTAACAAATAACTGCCATCGAACCTGCAGCTGCAAAGAATAATTGATAAATAAATAACTTATCTCTCCCCCTGGTAATCAATCCCTCCAACGTAAAATATTCTAGAACTTATATTGTATTATATCTACATCTACAAATAGCAACTCCATCTCATCTTATTTCCTAGCTGCGGCTATATATATACTCGTATAGCATTCCGCAAATACTCAGTACTCAGTACTCCAATACTCGAGTACATAATAAAATAAATATGCCCTCGAAGATGAAGTCACATTCCTGTCTTGAGCTACTGCGACATTATTCTTAGATGATATTTGGTATCACTGGTGTATACTCTACTCTCTCTACCTGTCTCTCTCTCTCTTCATTCCTTTTCTTTGGGTATGTACTCAGGCTCTAGTAGATTTGTGTTAATTAAGCGATATTAACATGGTTCCCCTATTTGCCATTCGCCATTCGCTATTCCCCATCCCCCCATTCCCCATTCGCTATTCACTATTCACCATAATAGCCACTTCTTTCTACTCTAACTCGTATATCATCTCTAAGTTCTGAGTTCTAACTCCTGAGCTCTGAGCTCTTTGCATGGGGTAAATGTATTCTGGGGGTTATTTAGTTAGTGTCATTCATTAGTCAGGAGAGTAAGTATAGATCTATCTCCCCGTTCTGGTTCTGGTTCTGGTTCTATTCTCGCTTACTTATTTACTTATTTACTTACTTACTAACTTAATTACTTATTCATATTCATTTGGGGTTTTCGTGGGAGGGTATACTATACTCGTAGTGATGTGTGGATATGGATATGGACGTATGTGGATATGGATATAAATGTGGATATGGATATGCATATGGGGGCTTTGTTCTCAAGGAAGGAAATGGGAAATGGAAAATGGGAGAAGTAGAGATGAGGAATAGCGAATGAGGGGTTGGGTACGGGTATGCTGTATGCTGTATGCTGTATACTGTATGTAAGGGATGTTGAATAGGATGAGGGGGGTGGTATAACTTACAATAGATAGATAGACATTCACTAAAATCACCATACAATCACTCAAATCACAATTACAACATATAAATAATAAATAATGTGCTCTCTCAAGCATTTACATTCTCCATCTCATCTCATCTATCAATCAATCCATTATACATATATTCCAGCATACATTCCAGCATGAATAGCGCCATCATATCATCGCCTTCCTTGCATTACAGGTCCTGTCCTGTTTAGTGCCATACCACTATGCATCTTTTTTCATCAATAAAAATTATCCAACAACATACAAGCTTTTCTTCCCGTAAGAAAGGGTATAATGCTAATATAACCCGCGCGCGCTTCCAAAGTAAGAAAAAAAAATCTAGACCCAACCGTTTGAGTCGTGATATTGGTCGTGAGAATCATTATCAAATATACAAAATTTTGTCATTATAAATCCGTGCCCCGTGTCCCCTGGTAGTTCGTTAAGAGAGAGGTGGTGAGATGTGTGTCGAGATGAAGGTCGAGAAGGGTGGTGAGGTAGGAAGTAAGGAGGTGGGTGAAGATGCGAAAATTACCATCCCTTTAGAGTACCTTCGATAGCGAGGATGATCTGTGATTAAATATTAGTCTGCAATTCATACATGTCAAAGTACCCAAGCAAACAAAACTCACAATGGCAGCAATAATCAACAACCCCACCGCACTCATCCACCTGTTCAAATTCCTCCACCACCTTGCACTCTCGTACCTCGCCTCGTCCAACGGTCCGAACTGTCTCACATAATCATTTGCAGTCTCCACATCCCGTGTCTGCGTCAAATTCCCAGTACTATCTTCGCGCTCCCGCATCTCGGAAAGAGGGGCCTGAGGTAATGGGAGAAATGCGGCGATCATCCATGCAAACGGGAGAAGGAATCCAGCAATAAACATTACGACTTGAATATTGCGACGCCCGAAGAAACCGCCCTCGGTGGAAAAGTTGATCTGAGGTGGTTCCCATACGGATTGGCGAGCGGCCCGACGGTCGGTACGGAGATGAGGGGACCAGACGCTGGAGATGAGAGACCAGGTTCTAAGACGGCCGACGCGTTGGGCCGCGCTGGTTACGGGGGTAATTTCCATGGATTGTTGGGAGAAGCCTCGCATGTGGGGATGACCTTCTCGGGGACGACGACGAGGACTGTATAGTTCATCCGGGAAATCATCCGTGTTTGGGGAACCGCTTCCCATGCTAAAGGATCCATTTCGACTTGGGGCTCTTCCATTGGAACTCTCGGGTCGGTAGCCTAGATAGCGACGTTCCCCACTTCCGTAATATAGTTTTGCCCATGTGGGAAGGGAGCTTGCTAGGAGACTGTTGGATCTAGAACTTATTGACGAGCGCATAGTGTGTGTGCGGGAGTTATCGGACGACGTGGTGTTGAACATGCCGGATAATCTGTTTCTGGACGGACGGCTGCGAAGATCTTGCAGGGCAGTGATACCATCACCATATTCGTCTTGATCACCTATAATAGGAATAGACGAACTGCTCATACCTCGACCAGCGCGTGTCCATGCCGGTCGTGGAGGTTCCATAGAATCGCTTCTTGATCTTGTTAACGCGTCTTCTATCCCATGGGACGAACTGATACTGAGCATGTTGCGACTGCCGCGACTGGGTAGACTGGGGAATAGACTGCTCCTTCTTCCCGCGCTGTCGGACCAAGCTTGAGAACCTCGATCCGTACCGCCTCCTTCGGAGACCGAGTGCACAGTGGATAGCTGTGAGCTCCATTGATGCGGGTGCTCGTTCATATGGGGTTTCGTGGGGCTTGGCAACTCTGCCCATGAACTCAATCCCTTTGGTTTTTGGAATTGGATTTGTGTGGGTAAATTTACTAATGATCCGCTTGCCACAATCGCTCGTTGGGCGTCGGGTTGAGTCTGAATTGTTGATAACGATGCTAGTGAATTAGCTCGACTGCGTAGCGAGTGATTTGACCTTGATTTCAGTGTCTCTCGCGACCTTGACTTGTAATAACCAAAGTTATCGTTGGACCTCTTCCTAGAATTCAGGGCAGGAACACGAAGGGATTCTTGTGAATACTTGGGTGCTGGGCCTTGTCCGCTCGAAAGAGATATAGATCTGGAAAGTTCCTCGTGAAATTCGTAATTTTCGTGTTCGCTGGATGAAGTGGTTGCTGCTCGAGCTCGAGGTCTATGGACAACTGAGGAGAGGGTTGACTCTTTGTCAGATTGTGGATATACGTGGTAGTTGGAGCCGCTGGAGAACGATGCTGCAAGAAAAGAATCGGCGATTGATTCAGAACGGTCTCGAGTACGACCACGGTTAACTTCGAAATTAGTATTATCTCCTGTGGTGCTTGAAGATAATTGAGGTCGATGTTGGGGCCTGAATACGACTGAAGTTGGAGTGTCTGGCTCATGTATCTGATAATTGGAGTTCGGATAACTCGAGTAGCCGGAAGTGCTCGTAGACAATTGAGGTCGGTGTTGGGGTCTGTAGATTACTGAGCCCGAGATAGATTCCTCGAGAACTTGTTCGTTTGAATTTTCCGAGGTACTCGCAGACGATGTTTGGGATGCTTGAGATGTCTGGGGTCGATGGATGACAGATCCTGTAGATTCTTGGATTGATTCTTCGCGCGGATGATGGACAACTGAATGAATGGACTGTTCAAGAATGGACTGATCGAGAACTTCGAAATTAGGTTGGGTAGGGGTGGTAGTATAGACAGATTCGTAGATCGATTCTGGAATATGACTATATACTTTGTAATTAGTGGCCTCAGTTGAAGTCGAGGTGGTGGAAAGGAATGAAGATTTCGTCGAAAGTTCGTGCGAGTGGAGCTCTTGTCCGTCTGATGTTTCTGGCAAAGGAGGGAGTGGATAGTCAAGCGCTATAGATTTTCCCTTATAATCTGGTGTCTTGGGTACCTTTCGAACACCACCTACAAGTGAGAACTCTGAGGATGAACAGCTTATATGATCTGCAGATATTGACTTTCTAGGAGTTGCCGTGCTAGGTGCGGCTGTGTATGTGGAGTCGGTACTGGTGCATGAGGTGATAGAATGATCGAAATCTTGAACAGAGGAAGATGATGTTTTAGTGGATAGAGACAGCAACGTACTATCATCGATGGGCTGGGGTTCATCATGCGATACGAGAGAAAAGGTCTTTCCATCGCCAACCTTGACAACAAGGCGCTTTCTTGACTGGGTTCTAGACTTGGTTGAGGATCTTGTCGCAGGAGTAGCAATTTGGGTTGTATTATGCGTTGTGCTGGACGTGCCTTTGGAAGTGGCTGATATTGATTGTGTTTTGGGCATCTGATGAAACTCGCCTGAATCTGAGCTGGAACCTGGTCTACCATAAAAATATTGATCGTTTCCAATAGCAATAGCATGATCAGGAGAGAGAATATGAGCTGACTGGGTGGGAAGAGGAGTTCGTGAATAAATTTGGTCATCATAATCATTCTTATTATTGCAATCATTTTCATGATCTCCTTCATCATCCTCCAATCGTCCTAAAAGTTGAGGGGGTTCGGGTGGAACCAATCGGACAGCTGCTGCGCGATTCGTCTCCGAGTCTGATCTTTTGCGATACGATAGTGAGCGGAATACCAATTAAGCTGAGGGAAACCATTGAGGATGAAGGTGGGATGAAGGTAGTAAGTAAGATAACATAAGTTTGCGCGTACCTTGTATGCAAAGGCCTTCTTAGAGGAGAGTTTGACATCCCGAACTAAGAAATTCTTCTAGACCAGATGCATATTGTGTTTCCATGCGCCGAAATAAGTTCGTTCGTATAATCGAGTATAAATAGATGCCTTTATTTTTTGTGGTCAATGGTCTTTTTTCGTCTACTTTTTTCTTTTCGTCTTCCTTGAAATTATTGCTTGATCGCAATTGTAGTGTTTGACTACTAGGTAGTATTGCAATGAATGTATTGTACTCGAGTAGTTCGTCCCGTGTCGATATCTTGGTATCTGTTTCCTTCTTGAATGAATGTTATATATTGTAAGTTGATTGAAAAGAGTAAAAATAATAGTATTAACTTTATTGTGTGGTCAGTCAGTCAGTCAGTCAGTCGTACTGTACGGTAATGAGTGAGAAATAGAAATTTAAGAAGGGTATTAATGCTAAGTATATAGAAAAAGAGTGTATGGAATCAATTGATTGACCGAGGAGCAAAGATAGATGGAAAAAGATCGAGAAAGAGATCAAGAGCAGGAGGGAGGAACGAGAGGATATCATAGGTCTATGCAATATGTACAACTCATCGATGCTACATAAAATTTCATATTCGACATCCAGCCATGGCCAGTTTTTCACCGCTGGCTGTAAGGATAGGTCTCCATTTCTAAGGCCCCATGTCTAGAATTTTAGCGTACCGTCAATCCGTAAAAGACCCTTTTCCGACAAGCGATACCTAGGGACTATCCGCACTTAGTCGTACATAGTAGGGTGAAAATAAGATGAACAGATAGCCAACGTGGCAGCCACAATAATAGAGTTCTTGCAGCCATATCCGCGCACAATAACACTTGAATAAGCCGAAGAGGCCTAATACGAAGTTCTAGCGATCTAATCAGGCAATCATAGTCAATCCTTTGGTCAAAAGGGGATCCCTTGATCCTGTACTCCGATCAAGATGTTTCCCGAATTAGACCAAAATCTCATGCGCGCACAGGAAGTATGCAGCGACTGCAAAGAACTACTGTAGGTGCCCCAAATTGAATGGTAACGATTCGACAGACTCTGGATACTGACTGCATACACTGCAGAAATCTGTAGAAGCGATGCTGTTAGTAGTAAGGTGGCTGGAATCGCGTCTAATAAATGGGGAGATTGTCTGCACTCGACAGGGGGAAAAGGTTTCTACTTCGTTTTGAGGGGGTAGGTACAAGAGTACATATCCGTATGGAACTGCTGTATACAGAAGTACAAGCAAGTCTCATTCAACAACTTGTACTGTACTTATGAGACAGTAAACCGAGAAGACATTGAAACCGCGCGTGGCTAAAGAAAGGGGGTCTACTTCAACCATCACCTATTCCAATAGTTCTTCAACTTGTTCGTTCGTCTGAATCTTTTCATGCTTCTGATTGACCTCGCGCTACACCTCGTCATGCCGGCGATTTTCATGGAAGAAACAAACAAAGTACCCAACCCAACCTCCAGAAAAACATAGCATGTATAATTCTTGAATAGTGGAGCTAGAAGCTCACCATCTCATTTCCGTTCAAAAAGCATTGATGAAGCTTGGACCTCTGCTCGCTTGGCCGTCTAGACAACCAAACCAAATTCTTATCATTAATAAACAAATGACATACTCGAGTACAAATGTTTCCCATTGCTTTCTATATCACAATAAGACCAAAAGAAGATTGAGAGTGTGAGCTCTATACCAGTATTCAGTTCGGTCTAGTTGTATCTATCTATAGGGCGCGATTGCAGATACGAGTAGCGCAAAGGAATGGCTTCACACGCTTCCAACACGGCGCACGCCCAGAACGTAAACGGGAACTTGCGAGACGGAAGTAATTTTGATAGAAGGAGGCTCTCCACGGGAGCACTACTCTTAGCTTCGAAGTCCGGTGTTACAGGATTCGCCCTTGTTATGTAGATCGGTAGATAACTCAGGAACGGGTATCTTTTTCTAAGGGCTGATCCTTCCACTTCTCATGTATTCCTTGTAACTTGTCTATATTAATTTCGAATTTATATATTCAACAAGAAATCTAGAGCGGAGGAGCTTGTCATCATAATTTTGGTCGTGTTTTTTTTTTTGATGAGAGCCGCATCATCGAATTTCCGGTGTATTTATGAGAAATTGTGAAAGTGCTGTTTTTTGTACTCAAGTATGATAACTAGGTACCTACAGTTATCGATAAGATGATTAGGAGCATGAAACATGAAACATGCCATCTTCGATATTGATGAAGATCTTTGGAAACAAAAGTAAAATTCATAGTGAATGAAATCTTGATGGATGAGATGAGATGAACGGATGAATACAATGAAATGGAACAATGTGAAAGTGTGAAAGTCAATTTTCCTTGTTGCTTCTGTTTCTGTCTTCCATCACAACTTCCAATACCCATCCGAAGAAACAAAACAAATAGAGTTACGTCCATCAACTCCACAATCCAACATTTTCGCATCGTCAGATTTCTACCCGCCTATACAATACCGAGCCACGAGGCTTTCGAAATTATAATGTAACTCACAGACTTCAACCACCAACCTTTCATATCTTTCACCTCTGTAGATTAACCTTCTCGCACATAGCATAGACCTTGCACCTATTGATCTACCGAGGATAAAAAAAAAATCGGATGAATATTACTTAGGAGCTTCTTACTATCCACACTACAGGTACTAGAGTACTCACATTCGCATCCATGGCTCCAACCGGGATATACAGTCGTTTGAAGGCACTCTACACTGGCGAAAAGGGTTGGTAGAATCTTCTCATCCATCTATCTGCAAGATCATGCACCAATATCAATAAATATATCAGCCACGGACAACCCGGCTAACCAGATATATATTTCGCAGAGAAAGAAATCCCCCCTTTTAGTACTGCTACTGCCGTCTCCTTATTGGTATTACAACCTCTTCCCCATCTATCTAGTTCAAAGGCTCACAAAAGCAGGTGCTCTATACACTCATCTACGTAATCCCCTTCTATCTATCCTCGACCACACGACCGTCCCCCCAACTATCCCGCGATGCACCGACGGTTATCCGCGGTCGAATACGTTCGGTCACTCTATCATGTATCGTTGTTTGCATAGGAACATTCGGCATATTATCCTCAGTGAAAGACGGAGATGCATTGAAATCCCTCCATTGGATGGGATATTTCCCCATTGGATTAGTCGAGACGGTCAAATGTGTAGCTCTTACCGCCATACTCTTCGTCGGACCTCTTTTTGAAGAAGGGATTGCGCAAGGACAATGGCGTGATTGGATTCGTCTGCGCGGATTGGGTGCTTTGAAGGGATGGATCCCGTATCGAAACATTGTCGCCGTAAGCTAGATATCCTCTTCCGCCAACCCATCAACCCAATACTAATCAATGATCTCAGGGTCCCGTAACCGAAGAAGTGCTTTTCCGATCAGCCTCGGTGCCGCTGCTCCTCCTCTCCAAAACATCCAACACAACCATTATATTCCTCACCCCCGTCGTCTTCGGACTAGCCCACGTGCACCACTTCTACGAATACCGAATTACGCATCCGCATGGACCCATGCTCGGTGCTCTTCTCCGCTCCCTCTTACAATTTTCATACACGACTTTGTTTGGAGGCTATGCTACATTCCTCTATCTTCGAACGGGTAGTTTGTTGGCGGTGATGTGTGTGCATGCTTTTTGTAATTGGATGGGCTTCCCGAGGTTTTGGGGAAAGATTAGTAGTTCGGTGGACGGAGAGACGATTATTGGGCCGGATGTGGGAGCCAGTAAGAAGAGTGAAGATGTGCTGGAAAATAATGGGGATTTGGGTATTCCATGGACCATCACTTATTATGCTCTACTGGTGGTGGGTGCTTACTTCTGGTGGAAGTATTTGTGGATTTTGTCGGCGAGCGAATTCGCTTTGGTCAAGTTTTAATAGAGCAGTGTGCTAGTTTAATGATGACATTTTCTATGACTTTGGGAATTATGCAGATTTTAATGATCATGGAGACAATGCACGGTGGAAACTGAATTCTCAGGTATTCCTTGGGATTCGGAATAAAACGAATCTAGGTACAGGCCAAGCAGATACTTGCCCAGCATGAATATCGTATATCAAGCGAAATTACCTCCGAGCTTTCATATCTATCATGAACTCCTCCGATCCAGAGATCCTTCCTCCGATCAAGCGAAGACGTGGGTCTTCGGATATGAGAATATGCCACAGAGAGGCATATCCTCCCACAACAATCCGGCGTCGATTGTGGAAAACATGTACTCGCCCTCACTGCTCAACCAATGACACTTTTCTTTGCCCTCAATCATCCCAATCACTATCTTCATCCTCTTCCTGATTCTTGGCTTTCTTGTCAAGATACAGAGTTCCAGAGGTAGTTTCTCGTCTGACGACGCCTGAGGCCAAGAGTCTTGCTTCTAGGTCTTTGGTCGTGAACGTATCGGGTGTGTAACCCAAACCCTCGAATCCGACGATTCTATCGATCGATCGCCCGTCTATGAAGACTAGAACGCAGGGTAGGATCTTGACGTTCAGTTTTGTGACGAGGAATGGGGCGTTTTCTACGTCGATCTTGAGGAATCGTGTGTCTAGATGTTTGGGGGCTAGTGTCTGTTGGTTGTGGTTGTGGTTTTAGTTTTTTAGTTTTTTTGGGGGATGGAGGAGGGGATATGTAGAAGGAGAGGGAGGGAGGAAAGGGATGGCTTACGGCAAGATGTGTATCCATAACACCACATCTGGCAAAATCATTCTTAGAAAAATGAACAACGGCATACTTGACCTCGGTCGTTAAATCCATGAGTGCCTTTTCCTCTTTGATCTCGGTGAAGTTTCCAAAACCTTGGGTTTTTTGCGATTTGGCACGTGTGAGTTCGGAGTGGAGTTGTTGGATTCGCTGCTCGCGGAAGGCGTCTACGGCGGGGCCTTCTTCGAGAGATGCGATGAGCTGAGAAGTAGGGTGTTAGAAGTTTGAAGGAGAAGGAGAAAGAGAAGGAGAAAGAGAATTATAAGAGAAGAAAGTTGCATATCAGGGAAACGTGTGTAGTAGCCGAACTTCACAGCCAAGGATCGACATCTTCGTGGATAATGAATGTATAGAAAATGAAAAGAGACACTTACAGCATCTTCATCGTCAGAGTCGGCTCGATCAAGCACAGATGCTACGAGAGGATCAAGTGTGTTCGACATGATGATCTGAAGGTAAGGTAAGGTAAGGTAGGTTTTGAAGGTTCAAAATAGAATGTTGAAGTCTAAACCCTTCTAGACTTGAACGCTAGTGGTTGCAAACACTTGGATGCAACGTACGGAACAATTCTTGCAATATGGGTCTGGAAATTCTGTGATGAAGTTCCCTTGTACCTGTAGAGTACCTAAAGTACGCACCACTGTCTTTTTTTTAGTGACTGAAAATTGAAAAATCCGTTATGTTTCCACAAACGTCCCTTGTATTGTAGAGCCCTTGACTTGGGTATTGCATAAACAACTCCAGCAACCTCAAATATCGATGTTATTGAGCCTCTTCTCCAGAAATTTTAACTGGTTGATCCCCTTTTTCGTAGATCACGCTAAAAAGGTGGATGTATTTATGTCAACTGGTTGAATTGTATTGGGCTGCCTATTTTTATCCACACGCAGAATTTCTTACTACAATCTTATCCCCCCTGCACTAAGACAAATCAACCAAAGATTCGGTCTGGCTGTCCTCTCTGCCATAATTTCTTAAACTTTCACATAAGAATACTCATCACTCTCATTTCAACCCATTTACTGCTTATACCAGATAGAGGACTTTTGGCTTGTTTCATTTCGACAACCAGATATCATATCCAACGGAATTTCCATTTCCAAACCTCCGATATCGAATTTAGGGATTCGTACCTCTATTTTTGCGCATTGTGCTGTCAAAAACCAAAAGCACAAGAAGACCAAACATTTCTGTCTCTGAGAGCAATCGCAAATATGGACGACAAGAAGAACGAAGATGTTGAGATGCGCAATTTCAATGGGCGCTCCTCTCCATCTCAACGCGACCCTTTCCTGTCCAAGCCAGGGGCAGCAACCAAAAGAGGAGGTTCTGCCTTTGATCTCTCCAATGTCACGAATAGCCCTGGGATATCCATTATGGCCTACTGTTTGGCATCGATTTCTATGACTGTAACCAATAAATTCTGTGTCTCGGGAACAAACTGGAATTTGAACTTCTTCTATCTCGCCATTCAGGTATGCGTTGGACGCCATCGTTCCGCGAGGGACTCTTTTGCTAACATTTTTAGTCTGTTGTATGTATCATTGCGATTATCATCTGCAAGCAAGCGGGCTTGATCACAAATCTTGCACCATTCGATACCAAGAAGGCCAAAACATGTAAGTATCTATCTTCTTCCCAGAGCAAAGTTTGGCCGCTAATTTCAATATCAGGGTTTCCCATCTCACTCCTCCTTGTCGGCATGATTTACACCAGCACGAAGGCTCTTCAATTCCTTTCGGTTCCTGTCTACACAATCTTTAAGAACTTGACGATTATCGTGATCGCATATGGTGAGGTTTTGTGGTTTGGGGGAAGTGTCACTCCTTCAGCTCTCTTCTCATTTGGTCTTATGGTTCTCAGCTCGGTCGTTGCGGCTTGGGCTGATATCCAACATGCTTTGTATGGAGGTGGTGCTACGCAATCTGCAGAAGCTGCTGCTGCTCTCTCCACTTTGAATTCTGGATATGCGTGGATGGGGGTAAACGTTTTCTGCACTGCGGCATATGTTTTGTCCATGCGTAAGGTCATTAAGAAGATGAACTTTAAGGATTGGGACAGTAAGTTTTCCTATACTTTTGCAACCGGTCTATCAATTCTAATAGAATCTTAGCCATGTTCTACAACAATCTCCTCACGATCCCTGTCCTCTTCGTTTGCTCTTTCATCTTCGAAAACTGGACATCCGAAAACCTCCTCAAGAACTTCCCAGTTGAGACCCGAAACAACCTCATTCTCGGCATGGTCTACTCTGGTCTTGCTACTATCTTCATCTCATACTGCTCTGCTTGGTGTATCCGTGTCACTTCTTCGACAACCTACTCCATGGTTGGTGCCCTCAACAAGTTGCCAATCGCTATTAGTGGTCTCGTTTTCTTCGCGGCCCCTGTCACATTCGGAAGTGTATCTGCCATCTTCATTGGTTTCGTCAGTGGTATCGTTTATGCATGGGCAAAGGTCAGACAAAATCTGTCAGCCAAGAGCCTTCTTCCCACAACACAACCAGTTATGAGCGCCAGTTCCCAGAGCAGCCGCGATGCCGCAAAGGCGTAAATAAATGCTGGTACTTTTACTTAAGCGGGTTAACGTTATAACCCGTCAATAGTACCCATTTAGAGTGCTTTAATCAAAAATCTTGAGCACAATCTAGAGAATGAATGACGGCCTCAGCAAGATGGCTCCCTACTGCCCGTATAACACCCAATCGTGGAGGTATGGGAGCAAAGTTTGGAGATATATATTTGTATTATACACTTTTCGTTGCTCGACGTACGTTAGATGGAAAGAATTTCCAGAGATTCTTGACAGACGGCATCTTCTCACACCTTCAATCTTTAAACATAACTTCTACAGTAGGGTCTGATATTTCTGAATCATGGCGTATGTACGGGACATGATGCGTTCATGATGAATGGATAATAGAAATTTGTAGCGTTTTATGAATTTAAAAAGTCCTTTAATCTACTCGAGAGTATATGTGGTGATAATGTACTAGGTAGTCGTTTCATTTGTATGTGTTGGAAAATGGAGGAATGAACTCTTCAGTAATTAATTGGTGGATTTTGATCGAAATACACAGTCGTTGATCGTTGATCCTTTGAATTGAAATGATACATACATACAAACAATTTTCTTGGAGTGCTCTGAGCTAGTCTGAGGAAATTGACACAAGCATTGCATTGGCATTGAATTGACATTGGCAAATACCGTGACAACGTTTTGTGTCAAGTTAACCAATTGATAGATAGGGCTGAATGACGTCGCTTCCGAGTAAGTTTATACCGAGAAAAACAATTGTCAAACACATCCCGCATTTGAGCTATGGTATCTAGATACCTAGCTATCTGACTGATACGCCACAACAGGATAATAAGTGTATGAGAAGATCTTGTTAGAATATGTTACATATTGAAGCTTCATGATTCTTCACACATTTACTTTTTCGTTTGCATTTCGTTCGTGAATTGAGATGTCAATTCCGGAGCCCATACCACTGGCAGATAAGGCTGAATCCTCGTTCGTTATTCTCCTCCAAGCTATCATTCTGAATACACTTAATTGCAACAGGTTACGCTAATACATACTCGCAGACTCTCCTTTACTCAAGGTTTACTTTTAGGCCAACTGTCAATCGTCATTCTAATCGGCGCCTTCATCAAATTCTTCATCTTCGGCGACCCTCCCTCCCCAGACGTAACCGCAGCCCTCCGCGCCACCGAACGACGCTCCCGAACCCTTGCACACAAAAGATCTCTCCTCACGCTCCGCAGCCTCACCCCACGCCATGCCTCTCAGCCCTTAAATCGCAAACGCTTCAGCGTCTTGCGAAACCCGGCGCCGCTGACCACAAATGCTATTCTGAGTAAAACATACTATAATGTGGATAGTCACCAACCGGAAAGTCTCGATTGGTTCAACGTGCTGATTGCTCAGACGATCGCACAGTTTCGCGCGGATGCGCAGCATGATGATGCGATTCTTACTAGTTTGACTAAGGCTATGAATGGCGGGAATCGCCCGGATTTTTTGGATGAGATTAAGGTTTCGGAATTGAGTCTGGGAGAGGACTTTCCGATTTTTAGTAATTGTAGGGTTATTCCGGTGGATGAGGATGGCATGACTTTGGGGAGAGAGGGGGGCGCGGCGGGGAGGGAACATGGTAGGTTGCAGGCGAGGATGGATGTGGATTTGAGTGATTTTATTACGCTGGCGGTGGAGACAAAATTGTTGCTTAATTATCCGAAGCCATTGGTTGCGGTGTTACCGGTTGCGCTGGCGGTTTCGGTGGTGAGGTTTAGTGGTACTTTATCCATTTCGTTTGTTCCCGGCAGTCCATTGAACGGAAGTCCTACTACACTCGCATTCTGTTTCTTGGATGATTATAGACTCGATCTTTCGATACGCAGTTTGGTGGGTAGTCGATCTCGCCTACAGGATGTCCCGAAGATCGCTCAGTTGATTGAAGCTCGACTGCATACATGGTTTGATGAACGATGTGTCGAGCCTCGATTCCAACAAATTGAACTCCCAAGTCTATGGCCAAGGAAGAAGAATACGAGGGGAGGGGAGGATCTAGATACGGGGTCGGAGGCGGGGGGTATTGGGATTGGGATTGGGATTGGAATTGGGAGAGCGAGGAGTAGAGATGTAGAGCGCGATTTGAGGGAGGAGGCAAGGAAGGAGGTTGAGGCGGAAACGGGGGTTAGGGTGGGGAGAAGTACGGGGAGGTTGGGGGTTAGTTTGGATGTTCCGGAGAGGGGGGAGGTGGGGAATGGGAGTGGGAGTGGCAGTGGGAGTGGGAAGAGGAATGGGAGTGAGGATGGTCTGAGGTTTAGACGAAGAAGTAGGAGTAGAGAGGATAAATATTCTATGCCGGGGAGTATGCCTGGTTTGAGTATGGCATAGGGACCAGGGTCTAGCTGGAGTTGTGATGGATGTCTATAGATAGATAGATTTAAACCTTACACATCTCATCTCATGATCAATGGCAAACATGACGTTTGTAATATGTAGTAAAACTGTGTATACATTATACTTTATTAAATCACAAAATTATATACTCGAGTATGTACGGAAACTAACCCAATAAATCATATACCTATTTGTAACCCCTATCCCAAAAAACATCGCTCGCAAAACTCGGTACTTGAGAATCCGAATCTGAACATTCAATATCTAATATCTACTGTAGCACATTGGTAGCGTTGAAGAATCTTTGATAATGTCTACTTGAATTTGATACACTAATGTGACAGGGCTTGGCAGCATAACTTTTCAAAGATTGGAGGGTTGAAGGGTTGAAGGGGCTCCCATGTCCTAATGATTTAGAGATTCAACCTCAACCTTCAACTTATCATTTTACATCTCACTCCTATCCTTTACTATAATCACTCTTCTTCTTATACAGTACATTCATCTATTCCAATCCCTCCTTTACTTTGATTTTTTGATATGTTTTGAGAACTTGGTCACACGATTTAACTTCAAGCTCTATCGATATTCTTTGTTCCAAAGGTCCATATCCATACAGACATTATCATAGTATTAATTTCCCCTTTTTTACCATATTTTTTGTCATTAGTGAAATTAATTTATTCAACTTTTTAAAAAAACTTGTCCTATCAACTTCATTCTACAAGCAAACCTCAAACTATTTACCTTATCAATACTCCTTCAACAATACATAAATAAATATTGTAGCTTGTTTTTGGAAATTCATCAATTTCTTACTCTCCAAGAGTATTTCAAAATACCCTAATTGACCCCTCCGTTATCACAACCCTACCTTACCCCTTATCGAGTACTTCCATCTCAAGACTTTCAGTTGATATTCCTACTCGTACAAGACAACGAAAAGATCAAAGCCCCTGGGCAAAACACTTCCTATATCCTCGATTCTTCCCTTTGATCGGCCCTATCATGAGACGCGGCACCCTTATATTCCTGGTCATCAATCTGATAATAATTGGTTTCCTGGTAAATGCCTTCAGCACCCTCATATCACTCCTCTTCATAGATGGAGCAGCAGATGCCATCCACCGATCAGAAATACCCGCGCCAGGCTCAGAATTGGTTGAGAATCGCCCTCAGCTCATCCCTAAAATCATACATCAAACATATATCAACAGTTCAATTCCTGAGCGATGGAAGGCCACTCAGCAATCTTGCGTGGACTTGCATGATGATTATGAATATAAGGTACATCTACTCGAGTTGAGCAGAATAGGAGTTGAGATGCTAATATGTTTACAGTTATGGACTGATGACGCCTCAAGAGCATTTATCTCTACTGAATATCCTTGGTTCCTGGATACATTCGACAGCTATCCCTTCCCCATCCAACGCGCAGACTCGATCCGCTACTTCGTATTAGCACATTATGGAGGAATATACATTGATCTCGACGACGGCTGTAACCGAAAACTCGATCCCCTCCTCAGCTATCCCGCCTGGGTACGCCGCACCATTCCCACCGGAATCAGCAACGACGTCATGGGATCCGTCCCCCAACATCCCTTCTTCCTCCACGTCATCGAATCCCTCCAATCCTACAATAGAAATTGGGGCATGCCATACATAACCGTCATGTACAGCACCGGCCCGCTCTTTCTCTCGGTCCTCTGGATCGAATACATGCGCACAGTTACAGATGAGGCAGGCCGTATACGTAATCTTATGCCCGACGAATACAATAAACACGCATGGAGTTTCTTCAATGTGGTGAAAGGCAATAGCTGGCATGGAAAAGACGCACAAACGATCTTCTGGATGGGCAAACATTGGCTCCTACTTACAGTAACGGGTTTCGCCATCGCGGGAGTGCTGGGAGGATGTGCGTGGTTTGCGTGGAATATGTGGGTGGTGCGATCGAGTAAATCGCATCGCAGGGGAATGGCGCTTTGGAGGAGAGTCAGTGGAAAGGATCGTTATGAATTATTGGATCGCGAAGCGTGAATGTAGATTCCGGGATTGATGCATAAGGAGTTAATACTTCGATGACGTTTGTACCTAATTAATGGGGTTTTTGGATAGACGACACAGAGAGGTAGATTGTATAAAGATTATAATGGATGAATGAATTAATGGTAAATTTATATAAAACACGATACCTGGATATTGAAAAGATCTTGCATTCAACGATTGGTGTTACGCTTGGTTGGGTAGATGGATTTCGAGAATACCTAGTACTCACTCGATACTTACCAAGGAAGCACAAGAAAGCTCACCGGGAACGAACCTACTCACCAATTATCTGGGCCACCAACCAGCGGGCCAACTGGCAAAGAACATGTTATATTTTACATTTTACATTTAACAGTCCAACCAAACCAAACCAAACCCAATATCCAATATCCAATATCCAATATCCAATATCCAATATCCAAACCCAATATCTAGACTATCTACGAGTATTAGTAGAAGCATTATTCAAATTCCAAACCCTGAACTCTAAGCTTTAAACTCTAAAATCTATACTTTAAACCGATTCACTTTTCTGTAAAATGACGAGTGAGCTCACCGGGGATGAGGTATGGAGGATAGGTGGAGTCAAGGATGGAATGGGTTTTCGTGCTTTACTTTAGTATCGTAGGTACCTAAATAAAGGTTAAGGGAGAGGGTCTCCGGTGGCTCACCGGGAGCATAGTGCAAAATTATATAGGCTAGGTAGACACACTAGTGCTAGGTAAAACGGATTCATGAACAAGTGAACGTCAAATGATCAGACTAATTTTATTGTGTGTGAAAAAAAAATACATGCAAGGTATAGTCATGTCTGTATTTCAAAGCTCACCAGACTTTATATGCATCTTTCTCTACCTCCAACCAATCACTTCAACTCTACCTTTCCCTTCCTCTTTCTAGCCTGAATCTCCGCCTTCGCCTCCTCAATCGCTTCATCGAAATCCCTTGATGGATCAGCCGGCAATCCTAGCACCGGTTCTTTATCACCTAAACTCTCCATACTTGCCGAATGTTTCAACCCTTCGTTCGTCTTGGTACTTCTCTCGCTCACCATCTTCATCATATACGTTTTAGCAGGCGAAGCGAAGAAAGCGGTTGAGAGGACAGTGCCAATGACAGCGTAGAAATAGACGCGTGACCAAACGAGGAATGAAGCGGGGAGAGTAAGGAGTATGAACGGAGCGACGGTGAAAGAGAATGCAAGTTGAGTAACTAGCCAGGAAAAGATGTCGTAGTAGGGTTTGTGAGATGTTGGTTGGGATGTTTTGGAGTCGACGAAAAAAGGTCGGAAACATCGTCGGAAGTCTAGATAAATGATTAGTTGTGAGTTTAGTATAGAGACTGGAAAACATACTCTTTGCGATCGTTTGAATAAAACTGGCCAAAATGAAAGCAAGATAATAACCAGGGAAGAATCCGTGCCAGAAGGCACTAGTCACGAAAGTTGCCATGCTAGCTCTGAAACCAGGCTTCTTTCCCTTAGGAGTGACTCGAAGATAGATGTAGTTTCGAAGCCAGTTATTCGTGTTTATATTCCAATTCCCAAGATATGCGCGGGTATTTTGGGCTGTTTCAACTCCCCATGGGTCAACATTACATAGTCTGTCCCAAGAGACTTTGCCAGTAACTGGGTCGATACCCTTATACCCAAGACCCGAGAGAATGCATGCACCCTCGGTCAACGCCCATACACCGTAATACTTCAACCTGGCAGTTAACCCAACCATGTGAAGCACGAAGACACGGCGAGCAAAACCATAGGTCATGTATTGGTCACCAGTCAAGAGATCAGGCCAGTACCATGCGGAGAGCTTTAAGAAAAGAAGGATCCAAGACAAGCCAGCAGCAGCTTTCCATGCTGCAGGAGTGCCGCTTCTTGGAATCTTTCTCAGCTTCCGAGTTGGGGCTTTCTTCGAAGGATCAACACCAGCAGGAACCTCGAACATCGTGGTCTCAATCCACTGCTTATAATCCACATAGTCGAAAGCTGGGCCTCCAAATAGAGACGGAAAGAAAAGGACATATCCGGCAAAATCCAACAAGCTTGGAAGCTGTTTGATCGCCCTTTCTTTTTGAAATTCTGATAATTCTGCTTCTGGTTGTCGACCATCTGCAACATTCCAACAGAATGCAGAGAGTTTCATAACCAGAACCATTTGAGCCCCCGTAATATCCACAACTCCCGGATTATTGACAAATTGTCGAGCCAACTGGTTTACTGATAAATGCCCCATCACGAATACGAAGCCAATCCATGGCATAAAAGGACCTTGCACATGTTTTGCGATGCAGTATGCCCCGATGGAACTGAAAGCCAGCGTCCTTGTACCACCCCATAAGTCGAAAAGTCCAAGAAGGTAAAAAGAGGAAACACTGACAGTTAGTTCGTTAGCAAATTAAGATGGAGATGTGCCTTTGTAGTAAAGTACGGACCCGATAATGAAGAGATTCTTCAGATCAGGCCTCGAATCTGGAACTCGTTTCAAAAGACCCGCAAATGGATATGAAAGGAGGAAGGAAGTGATGAGTTTCACTGTCTAATGTCAGGATGAAGTTCAAAGCCCGAAGTTAGAGCTCATGTTGCTAGCTTTGTTACTTACATTCATCGGTCGAGGCACCCAGAATGCCTGCGGCATATGTGAAAGCTGCAGAGGTACTTGTCAGCCTACTTCACATTTGTTGAGGTAAAGCTTTCCTTACGCGCATCGATATATGGCAACATTGTTGATAATGGAAGTTTTCAAGGTGCTAAAGATCGAATGAAGTTATCAACATGCTATCGTTTCTTCATCGGTGAAGTTGGAACTGTGTCTTGAGTGAAAGAGACAGATTATTTGACTTGTGAGCTTCCTTGATGTTTATTTATGTGATCCATCCATTCATTCAAGGCACATGGCACAATAGCTTGTTTTCTGCCGGGCGGTAAGCTATATCTGGGCGGGCCTTGCCTCGCTCCCGAGCCTTGCTTCCTTTGCCTTGTCTAACACATCTAAACCCACGTCGCCGTTGTTTACAGCCTACTTCCAGAAACATCAACGACGACGAATACACGAAAGACTTTATTGTGGCCCATATAATTCCTTAAAATATTTATCATCTACAACTTGTTCGGCCATACGATTTGACATGCTTACGCCCTCTCGTCAGTAATACCTTCCAGCTTCAACCATAATCTCTAAACAATAAGCACAATGGATGTTGTTCAAGCTGTATCGGGGTATATCTCGAAGATGGTGTCTGCAGGAGACGGGATTTCTGGGACATCATCTGCGAAGATGAAGGTCTTATTACTTGATAGTGATACCGTGTCAATTGTTTCCACAGCAATCACACAATCTGCGCTTCTGAACCACGAAGTATACCTCATAGACCGATTGGACAATCAAAGCAGGGAGAAGATGCGCCATCTAAAATGCCTATGTTTTGTTCGGCCATCGGCCGATTCTATACAATTCCTAATTGACGAATTCCGAGATCCCAAATATGGCGAATACAATGTGTACTTCAGTAATGTGGTCAAGAAGTCATCCTTGGAGCGATTAGCAGAGGCAGATGATCATGAAGTGGTCAAATTAGTTCAGGAGCATTTCGCGGATTATCTTGTTGTGAATCCGGATTTATTTACGTTTGATCTCGGATTTCCAAAACAACGAATATGGAGTTCAAATCCAGACATGTGGAATCTAGATGCATTACAACGTACTACTGAAGGGCTCATAGCAGTGTTACTATCTCTGAAGAAGAAACCCTTTATTCGATACGAGAAAAATAGTCTTTTGGCAAAGAAACTGGCAACAGAAGTGCGGCATCATATTGCTCAGGAGGATCAGTTGTTCGACTTTCGGAAAGTGGATACGCCTCCAATTTTGTTGATATTGGATCGAAGGGATGACCCTATTACGCCGCTCTTAACACAATGGACATATCAGGCAATGGTTCATGAACTTCTTGGTATCAAGAATGGGAGAGTCGACCTGAGCGAGGTACCAGAAATTCGTCCCGAGTTAAAAGAAGTGGTATTGTCCCAAGACCAGGATCCCTTCTTCAAGAAAAACATGTATCTCAATTTTGGTGATCTTGGTGGAAATATTAAGGACTATGTCGAGCAATATCAATCCAGAACAAAAAATAGTTCAAATATTGAGTCAATAGCTGACATGAAGCGCTTTATTGAAGAATACCCAGAGTTCCGCAAGCTTTCTGGCAATGTCAGTAAACACGTTACTCTTGTTGGTGAGTTGAGTAGAATGGTTGGATCGGAAAATCTATTGGAAGTCAGTGAAGTCGAGCAGAGCTTGGCATGTAATGATGCCCATGCCAGTGATCTAAAAGTGAGTTCAGCTCGAGCTTTACACCGCGTTTCTGTAACTAACAAGATTTGTAGAACGTACAAAGATTAATTCAATCACCGACTGTAACTCCCAACAACAAGCTGAGGCTGGTAGCTCTGTACTCGCTCCGATACGAAAAACACCCTTCAAATGCATTACCGATCCTTGTAGACCTCCTTGGTGCCGCTGGAAATGTTCCTCAAAGACGCATCGATCTCGTAGCAAAGCTCATTATTTATCACTCGTCTTTACAACAAACCCAATCAACGGGAGGCATTTCTGACATGTTCGAATCTTCAAACATCTTCTCTGGAGCTCGAGACCGATTTAAGGGGCTCAAAGGTGTCGAAAATGTCTATACGCAGCATTCACCACGGCTCGAATTAACACTTCAAGACCTGATCAAGGGAAAATTACGTGATCAGCAATATCCTTTTGTTGAAAGTGGAGGAACCACCCGTGACAAACCACAGGATATTGTTGTTTTCATTATTGGCGGGGCCACGTTTGAAGAAGCTAAATGCATATCTCAAATCAACGCTTCTTCGCCAGGTATTAGAGTAGTTTTAGGAGGTACCTCAATCCATAACAGCTCGACTTTCCTAGAGGAGATGGAAGATGCTGTATCCTTATGGCCCGAACCTGCCCCATCTACTGCCGCTGGAAGATTACGAAAAGAGACAGGGAGACGTTGAACGAGAATAGGAGCCGAGACTCTTTGGCGATAAGCCGAATGCCGCTTAGATTAGGAGATAGCACGCGATCACCACCAGTTATTTCGATGCAATAACATTATCTAGCGACCACTAAGCTTGGTAGATGCCATTGCCACTACCCCTTGGAGGATTTCGATCGCATTGAAAATAGTATTCTACCAAGCTCATGTCTTATAGTCGTTACAACCATGCCCAAACATATGGAGCTGCCGACAGCATTTCAAAGTCTCCATTGGACTTGAAAGTCTACGACGAAATACAAATCTTACTAGACGATTAGATTGTAAGGGAAAAAGAAGTTCGAAGACTTTTGAATTCTTGACACATGTGACGAGATAGCACGTTACCCACAGAGATCCAGATGCCGAAGCCCAGGTCAGACGGTGGCTGGTGCGATTAGGGGCAAGATCATCCATTGCCTGGATGGGTAGTCAACGATATCTCACCCCATATTCGACTGGAGACTGCGCCGAGACGTTCTAAATTTATGTGGACGCTAAAAGAGAGGTTTGATAACAGTCAATCCGGTGTTCCTAGCAATTGCTCAAGTCAAGTACGACTCTGTACGATATAGTTGGTTTAGACCATTAGGGAATGTATTAATTACGCCTTAAGAGAAGTGAAAACAAAACAAAACAAAACAGCGCAGAGAATAGAACATCATTCTGATCTCGAAATGCTCAAAATACCACAAATTACCCCTACTGAATCTTCTGCTTCCTCCTCTTCTCCTCTGCCTTGTATCTAAATCCATGTGATACCAGCATATAATTACCAAAAAACTCCTCGGCAAAGTCGTCAAATTTTACATAATCGGCTCCTAGTCGATACGCGGCTGCTATTCCGGATACTAGGGCTAGTTCATGCATATTCTGTTGATTTGTTATGTTAGTATTGTAATGCTTGCATTGTTCCCCCTTTACCTTTCTCAAAACAAAACCAAATCTCCCAAACCTTTCGTTTCGAGAAAGGATAATGTAAATATCGCGCCAAATAAAAAGAATCCACAGCACAGAAAGAGAATAGCACAACATACCACCAAGGTCCAACTCCCAGCAAACCACGTGCGATTCTTCCCATTAATCCACATCATGCCAGGCACCACGCGCGCATAGTGCTGCCAGCGATGGCCGAGCTGATGCCACCATTTCGTCTCGATGATCTTTTCAGGGGCGATTTCATCGATGGTCCAGTAGTCGCGGTTGGATTTGTCGAGGAAGATGGTTTGGAAAACGTGGGAGTCGTAGGGGATGGGGGCGGTGGGGGTGGGGGTGGAGTGGTCGTGCCGGAATTGGTGTTGGTAGTTTGTACAGCTGGGGGAGTGGAGGTGGGGTGTTAGTGTTGATGTTGATGGGGTTGTGGGGGAGGGGAAAAGAGGTGGAAGGTAGGGGGGACGTACTCGAATGACATTTCGATTTTTCGGGGGTCGTGCGCATAGGATTTCGTGTAGTACATGGGTCGATATCCACTGGGTTCATTGTCGATGCCAAGTTTGTCACCTTTGGAAAATGCGATTTGGTCTTCTTGAGAACGGGATTTGGGTTCCGCGCAGAGGGAGGGGTCAAATTCCGTTTCGTAGTGTTTGCGGAAGTATTCGTGATCGGAGCTGGGGGTGTTAGTTTTCTGGTGGGAATGCATGATGGGGTGTGGGGATGAGGGAAGAGGGAAAGGGGAAAGGGAAGGGGATGGCTACTGGGTTACTGTTATATCATCGTAGAATCTTGTAGGATCATTAGCTTTAAAATTTCTGATGAGATGGACATCACTTACTTGGCTCCTCCCAGCACAAATTTCTCTTTCAAAGTGGCAGTCCTACCAAGGATTTTGAGAGCATCATCAGCTAGAACACACATGACCAATTCATCGAAAGTTTCCGTCTTGGAAGTTGGTCCCGTATGCTCTCCTTTTCTATCATTTGCATCCGAATTAAATGGTCGTGTACTCATCACCACACCCCGATCATTGCGTTGAATAATCTCCGTGACATCAGTCTTGAGCCGAATATCCACACCCTTCGATTCGAGATCTTTCCTCCAATCTTCGTAAAAATTATGAAGATTGGGAAACGTCAACATTTGAGGCAAGTTTGGTAAAAGCGTATCTGGATCATAGTCCCAAAGTTTCATATTCTTATCGTCAAATAAACGCTCCAAGATAGCGCAGGATACATTTGCAGTTTGGTTGCCAGTACCGAGAAAGAGAGCGATGAGTGGGTAAACCATCTTATCTCCAAAGTCCTTGCTGAAAAAGAACATCCGGAGCATGATTCGAATAGGTATTACACCTATTACAGGCATCGTCCACTTGATGATCTTTAAAACTTTGCCAAATTTCTTGATATCGCTGGAGAAACGTTCAACAAGATGACTCGGGAAACAATTGGTCCAGAATCCATCTTTGCCTTTGCCGAATGCCACTTGGAGTTTGATGCCTTGAGCTTCGTGACCATATCGTTTGAAAAACTCGCAGGTGTGTTTGAAGATTGGTGAGCCACCTTGGACACCATCGTTCATCCAGTCGGTGCCAAACTTCTCTTTGTCAAGAGAAATGGATGTTGCTTGACCTCCCGTTATACCCATTCTTTCGATCATGGTGACTTTGAATTTATCCGGATGTTGAGCAAGCGTTCCAGCGCACGCCATTCCTGCCGCTCCGGCTCCAATTATCACAATATGTTTCCTTTCAAGGGAAGAAGTCATATTGGATATGTATGGCGAGAGTAATTACGAAAGTTATCTTAAAGAGGACTTCTCTTTTTGCAACTTGAGATGGATTATAAAATCAACAATTTATTTGCAAGAACTGAAGGAGAATGTATAAACAAGTGTGAGGAATTTGTGGGTGTATTAGATCCTTTGACAACAAATGAAATATGTAGGCAGTGTAGTGATATCGACGAGCAGTGTATTCAGAATCAACTCAACTCATATACGTCATGATTTAGAAGGGCGATTCCCCCACCTAACTTTATTCTAGACATCGAGAAATCAAAGTCAACATAAAATCAAGATGGTAATAACTACCGACATGACTTGATTTTGACAGAGAAGATTCTTTCTGCAATGCAATTGCATTACCTTCGCTTTTCTCCAATGTCTGAGCCGGATCTAACATTTAAGTAGAGTAGTAACCTTACGTACCCGTATGTATTTAACTGCAGTCCCAGTACATGTGTTTGTGTTTGCTCAGCGTTCCTCCTAGTGGAACTTCACTGGTTGAGGGAGGAATACCATCAGTTTGAATCATAGCCAGAAAATGTATGAATGCCTCCATAGAATTATACGTCCCCAATTCTAGCTTGCTTGCTTTATCTGGTTGTTAAACTCCGACAAGCTACTCGTAGTAACCATAACATTTGGGAAATTCTGCCGATATCCTCACCGCCTTTCATATACCTCGTTAATCTAATCCGTTCTCGTCCTTGGGAATCGTTAACCAATCTAGTCCATCCGACGATCAACGTGTATGTAGGAGATAGGAAACTACCAATTTGACTAAGTTGGATCTGACAACTCTTGCTCCAATGTTCTTCGGATTGCATGGATGTATGAAATATGCGGAGAAGATGTGGCGCAACTTGGCAAAAATGAAGCTTTCAGTCAGGCACGAGCAAACCACCTTCCCAATTCGAGGTTCCTGCCGTCGAAACCGCATGAGTGACGACTAGGTACTGCCAAAAGTTACGAATTCAACTTCAGGATTGACCAATCTAATCGAAGCCACGTGCTGTCTTGATGTTGTTATCATGAATTTGGTAAGTCGATCATAATCGGATAAGTATCGTTCATTTTCCCTCTGCATGTTTCTTGAGATCCATCGTTCTCATAGAATTTGGGTCTATTCTGTTGCCAATGATGTTTCTTCCTATACTTTTGACTACAGCATCACTGCTGTCAGTCACAGCAGCCCATAAAGGAGGTCATAAGCGGCGATCAATCCTGTCAAGCCCTCAAGCATTGAACAAAACACTCACAAATACAATCCCCAATGCTCCTGGAGGCCCAACTCTTTATTATAACGGCACAGGGCCTGTACCTTCCTATAATGAGACTTCCCCTATTCCAGCTCCTTTACCTATGCTAAGGTACGAGAAATCATCCCCCTTCATGTATCACCACTAATAACCACCAGCAAGCAGGAAATTGAAGACAATATATTCAATGAAATCCAAGGCATTGCAACCGCAAATGGACTCACAACGAATTGCGCAAAATGTATTGCAGGTACCGAAGTGATGCACCTTGCAGCTATTATGCAACCCGTGGATACGATTGTGAATCTTCTTATTCGTGCCTGTGAAACCTTTCCAGAGGTCTTCGATAGCATCTATGCCGAGACCTGTTACGAGGAATACTCTGGAATTGGTGGAACAGGTCCATATCTTGCTCAACTGTTTGCAAAAATGAGCATAGCCACTGATGATATGCAGGGCTACTGTTTCTATGTATGGGATACTTGTAGTCTACCTGCGACTATTCCTATTGATGAATCGGCATACTTCAAACCAAAGCCAGCAAACAAAACAACGGCTCCTCCACCGTCTGGTAAGCTATGGCAATCGTTCAACCATAGATGAATTAGTTCTGACCACCAAATAGACAAGACTATTGATGTCCTACATCTCTCAGATTGGCATTTGGATTCACGATATGATATTGGCAGCGAAGCCAACTGCTCACAATACCTTTGTTGCAGACCATACTCAGCAAATACTGTACTTGACACGACGAGCGATAATCCATCCATACCCGCATCTCGTTTTGGATACTTCTACTGCGATTCTCCTCCTGATTTGGCTCTCTCTGCATTCTCAACCATGGACCAATTCATCAACAGATCTAGTGTGGCATTCACAATCTTTACTGGTGATATTGTGAGCCATGACAATGACGACCAAATAAGTAGAGATTACGTAGAGTATGAAGAGACGGTCACCTACCAGACTTTCAAAGCTCAAATGAAAGACAGTCCTATCTACGCTACTCTAGGAAATCATGATTCTCTTCCAGAAGCTTTGAGCTCCCCAAATTCCATCAACAACTCTACAGGACAATCAAATATGTTCTCTTGGAACTACAATCTCTTGTCCAGCTTATGGCTGAACAATGGATGGATCGATACTAAAGCAGCACAGTACGCTTCTAATCATTATGGCGCATATGCTACTGTCACGCCTCAAGGTTTAAAGATCATATCTATCAATACGGACTTTTGGTACACGGATAACATCTTCAACTTCTTCAATATGACCAATCCAGACACTTCTGGTGTTCTTACTTTCCTTGCAAACGAACTTCAAAAATCAGAAGATATCGATCAACGAGTTTGGATCATTGGACATGTACTGCCCGGATATGACGGCTCAAATGCGCTTCCTAACCCCACAGCTTTGTTCTATAGTATTGTTGCTCGGTTCTCCCCAGCTACAATAGCAGGAATATTCTTTGGACATACACACGAAGATCAGCTTATGATCTATTATGATTATCTACCAAACTCAACAATCTCAAGCAAAACATCTTCGATCCTTCGTAACACCACTTTAGTCGATTACAACAATCCTCTCCAAGTTGCATACATCGGACCTTCTATCACCCCTCTCACAGGCAACAATGCTGGCTGGGTTCACCTTGAGGTCGATGCTTCTACTTTCTCCGTCGTTAATTCTCAGACTTACTTCGCCAACATGTCCAATGCCAATTCCTGGACAACACCGATATGGGAATTGGAGTACGACACACGCCAAATATACGACACCAATACTACATGGCCTACCAATGCTCCGCTAGATGGCGCCTTTTGGCATGGCGTGACGGAGAACATGTTGGCAAACAATACTCTAGTAGAAGTTTACAATTTCCTCGAAACGAAAAGTTCGGCAAAGACGAAAAGCTGTAGTACGGAAGCTTGTGCTAAGCAGAAGGTTTGTTATCTGAGAAGCGGAAGTGCGACTTTGGGTTATGCTTGTCCATATAATGACGGTCCCTTTTGAGAGTAGTTAATAAAATCAAGGGGGTGGTGAATATATGTATAGTTAACGTAATGGAAATACCGGTACTTGTACGGAGGAAGGCGTTTATCAAGCCACCTGAGAAGATATATGAGTGTGTGCAATGAATCTGTTCTTTGTGTATTTGCTGTGCATACCAGGTTGCAGAAATACTGAGCCCTCTGGCCCCAGCGTCGTTTCTGGTGGTGGTAGTGAGCGCTGGCGCTTCCATTTGGGAACCAATTGTACAGCCGCCGTTTATGCAGGATCATGTACTTACTTGGTACGGTGTGGGATGAGGCGTGTTGGTAAGTCGATGTGATGGGCTACAACCAGGGTTCACGCCGAAGCTGAGACAAGTCTCATGTCGCTTATTGGGCTTGCTAGGCAGACTTATTGGGCAAAAGGGCTGGACAAAAATAAGAAGGGATATGCGCTGAGACTTATAGATGCTATCTATGGCGTCTATGGCGTCTATGGCGTCGTTATGCGCTTGTAGCACATACTGCTGCTGCTGAAGTGGGCGTTGAAACAGGCTGCAGAGTTCTAGCTGGGTTAGTTCCCCTTGGCTGGAAGGCCTGGACTGAACAGTTTTATCTCGGAGTGCTAGCATCAGTAAAAGTACAAGATTATATATATATTTTCTATTATCTATATTACATATATTATCTCAGACTTGCAGATTCTGTGTTTCGATAACAATATACATCTTCTGCATTCGGGCACCGGTGTCATTGTCAAATCAATCAATATATTCAAGAACCTCACATCTAACCCACGATTGAAAAAAAAAAAAAACCGGTATTATCAAAATTTCATCAAGGTAGATATCATTAATACTTAATCCTGCTTGATGCTAAGCATCCAGTTGAGTCTCTTTAAAGTTGTAGATAGAATCTACGGATACTTCGCAATCTCCGTCTCAGTCCATTCCTATAGTTCCTTTCTCAACTTGTGATCCTCACTCGCCTTCGTCTTTGCATCCGACAGTTTCCCTACAGGTACGTAGAAGCCACCGCTCTTGATCCCCTCCTTCTTGGCCATGACTGTCCATAACAGATTATCTGTGCCCTGCTCTGGGGTAAGCATTTGACATATGTTCGGTAGATAAATCAACAGCTTTTGGCTTCACGTCAGGTTCGTCACCAAAGAAATCTTGACGACCCCTGGATGAATTGCCAAGGCTAGGATGTTAGGGTATCTCTCAGCCAATTCCCGTGCATTTAATATGAGTAAGTCGATTTGCGAATAGTACTGGTAGTCGAGTAGGGATGTGAGATTTAGAATCTTTACTTGTACGAAACTTTTGGATAGGATAGGGGGAGGATCTGTATGGCTATGCTTTTGTTGGGTTTTGATATTTATATATATAATGCTAGCTATATACTCGAGTAGTTGGATCTGAGTATAGAGTGTTCTAGTATTGTAATTGCTAATTATTACTTCTGTATAGTATAGGCTTGGTAATAATATCTGTAGTTTAATACACTTCTAACAATAATAGGCGTATTATACAAATTTCAGTTAATCAAATTATACAAATCTATTTTTGAGATTATAGTGAAATGATCCTTGCTAGCCTCGGTAGCTACCCCATGTCTTTTCATTAATAAAGACGGAGAAATTAAGTAAGCAAGGAGTCAGTCTCACAAGATCTAACATGGAATAACCACAAATACTAATTTAAATATTCTCTTTTCTCGATAAGATTTTAGAGTAGAGAGGGAGAAAGATACCCCCTATGCCATGTCTCGCGCCAATTCATCCACACCGGAATCCAATGAACGCGAACCCCTTCTTGCGCGCGCGCCACGAACCGAGCCTACCGATGTATCGGTACATCCACGTGTAGATGTATGTGATGCGCTGATCACGGGATCGCGGTCGATCAAACCGGGTGCTTCTAGTCGGAGTTCAGATGTAGATCAAGATCAAGATCAAGATGCGGAAGAAGAAGGAAATGAAGGAAATGAGGAAGAAGACAATACGCCGCTCCCCCTAGGACAAATCCTCAGTCTCTGCTACATTCGACTCGTGGAACCCATTGCATTTTTCTCCATCTTTGCTTTTCTAAATCAGATGTTGTGGGAGATAGGGGATGTTGAACAGGGAGAGGTGGGGTTTTATTCAGGGGGGATTGTAGGTTTTCTTTTGCTTTTTCACCCCCCTCTTTCTTGAAGGAATGGGAGAGAGAAGGGGGGAGGGACGTCAACAAATATGTGTCTGGTTATTAATGTGTAGTAGGAATCTCTATTCTCCATCACGGAAATGATGCTCATGGTGCACTGGGGACGCGCCTCGGATAAATTCGGTCGCAAACCTATTATGATTATCTCACTCCTAGGCATATCGCTAGCGACGGGGGTTTTTGGTTTTGGGAGGTCGATTTGGCAATTGGTGATTTTTCGATGTGTTGCTGGGCTTTTTGCGGGGACAATTGTGTGAGTACCCCTTCTTTGGTGTCATTCTTGTCGTTATTTGGATGTTTTGGTGTTGTACATGTATTGTTTTGTTCTGTGTACTGTGTTTGGCTTCACTGACAGCAAGGAAAAGCACCGTTCGAACGATGATCTCGGAAAATAGTACGAAAAATACTCAAGCAAGAGCTTTTAGCTATTTCTCTGTGGCGGGGAATATGGGGATACTTATTGGGCCTTTGATAGGTAATTTGCTCTTTTCTAAAGTTCCAAAAGAATTCCTCATCATACTGACTTATACTCTCAAGGTGGTGCTCTCTCCGAACCCGCCAAACAATACCCATCCATATTTGGCGGTATTGCATTTTTTCAACAATCCCCCTTTGCACTTCCTACCATCTGTACAGGATTATTCGCTCTGAGTGCAGCGTTCGTTGCTACGTTCTTCATTAAGGAGGTTAGTTATTTATCAGTAACTTTTCCCATGACAGAAAATCAGCACCACTAACCATATCTCAGACATTGGGAAAGAAAACATATCAGAAAGTAGGAGCACACGATGGAATGACCATGCGCGAACTTTTGAAATTCCCAGGCGTGGCTCGTTGTGTGTATATCTACTGTCATCTAGGTCTTATGGGCACAGTCTACACATCCGGTTCGTCTCACACTTCTTCTTATTTTCCTCTTCTCCACCTTCCACCCCTAAAGCTAACCCTCCTCCTCCTTTCAAGTCCTCCCCGTATTTTGGTTCACGCCCATTTCCCTCGGCGGATTAGGCTTCACCCCCCTCCGCATCTCCCTCTTCATGGCCCTCGCCGGTTTCTCCCAAGCCTTCTGGATGATCGTCGTCTTTCCCCCTCTCCACACCCGTATCGGTACCGTCGGAGTCCTCCGCGCCTGCGCTTTTTTCTGGCCCTTCCTGTTTGCCTTTTGTCCGTTTGCCAATTTCTTATTGAGAATGGGGTATGAAAGGACATTCTGGGTTGTTTATCCGTTAAGTATGTCGATGGGGGTGGGTGTTAGTATGGCGTTTAGTAAGTCTTATTTTTTAATACTTTTTTCTCCGTTTCTCCCTCTCCCTATCCTCCTTTTCCCTCTTCTCCCTCCCTGTCCACCCAATCCATCTCAATCCCACACTGCGCCAACTCTCACCCAAACCAAACTAACAACCCCACCCCTAGCCTGCGGCCAACTAGCCCTAAACGACATTGCCCCCTCCTCCCAAACCCTTGGCACCCTCAACAGTATCGCGCTCGCCGTCACAAGCGGAACACGTGCTTTTGTGCCCGCCCTCTTCACTATCATATTTGCATATGGAGTGACGCATCAAATTCTCTGGGGATATTTTATTTGGGTTTTTGAGGTCTTGGTTGCGGTGGGATTGGTGGTTGCCGTGCCATTTTTGCCAAAGGAGGCTTATGGGAGAGGGAAGGGAAAGATATAGTAGATGTAAAGAGGGAGAGAGAAGAGTGGAGTGCATGAAGTAAATGAAGTACTGTAGATGGTGAGGTGTATAGATGAGTTTGAAGGGAGAATTTATAGTACAGAATTGGGATATGGTATTGTGAAGATCATTTAGATAGGTTGGACTCCGAAAAATAGACTTGTGATGGAAGAAAAAGAGATGTTTATTAGAAGTTCCTCTATACTCTTTCTTCTCTTATAACTGGCCTACTAAAATGAGTTGTACATTTATTGAGAAATATTGACAGAAGAGGGAAGTTCCCATCTCAAGTTCTCAACCATCTCAGTCCCTCCAACCAATCCCAACCAATCCCAACCAACCACACAAAAACATCAAACTATAACATAAAACATAAAGCATAACCCCAAAGCTTAGTTAAAAAAGCACCCCAGAATATACCAATGAATAAATCAAGAAATAACCATCAAGGTTCTCATGATCATGATCACCAGATCACCAGATTCCTCAATTCCCGTTTCCTGTTTCCCCCATGAAATATCCTTCCAATCATCTATCCATAATCCATCCATCCAATAAGCGAGTCTGTGTCTGTTTTTGTATCGGATTTGAGTATTCTCAAGTACAAATATATATGAATTTGCTTATTTTCCACTTTTCACTTTTCACTATTCACTCCTTTAGAACCTTTTGCAATGAGTCTATATATAGTATATCAAACAGTTCATCTATCTATCTATGATCTAACAAGCAAGTATGAGTCTGTATTTGTATCGGTGCCTGAATCAAGTATGAATCTATATCTGCTCACTTTCCACTTTTCACCATTTACCATTCACTCCTCTAGAACCCTCTGCAATGAGTCTATATACAGTATATCAAACAGTCCATCCATCTATTCATTTATAATTCAACAAGCAAGTCTGAGCATATATCTACCTATCCGTATCAATATCTGAATTCAAGCATGAATCTATATGTATCTGCTCATATTCCATTATTCACTACTCTAGAATTCTCTGTATATCCATCTGTATATTTCCTTGAAAAATATCTTAGCCCAATGATCAAGTCTGTATCTAAGTATATACTTGTGTATATATCGGTGTCTGTACCTGTTTCTGAATTCACATCTAACTGCTCATCTTTCAAGCATCCTGCACTTCTCAGTGTCTGCAGAGTTGCTAGAGAGCGAGGACTCAAGAAGTATCAGGTTTTGACAGTTCAAAATTCTTGGAAGCGAGATAAGAAAATGTATGATGAACGAAACGAAGAGGTCGAACGTCTGGGACATGGTCTGACTAATCCTTTCATTGGTCCCGAAGCTGCAACGACAAACTTCAAATGTTACATCAATTACGACTGGGATACGGTATTTATTAACACAACACACAGTCGAATTTATGACGACGCCCTGCCTGATGGTGCCGAGACTTGGCGTGAAGATGTCGGATATCAATTCTTGAAGGACTTATATTTCTCGCCAGCTGGAGACCAAATCCAAAGTCTCGCTATCGACTACTCAGTCGCTGCGAAATGGCTTGACACTGGTCGCAATAACTGGAAATATTGCCAAGTATTGGCTGCCATGCCCCAATTGAGCAAGCTTGCAGTTGCCTGGACAGATTATCAGGGACTCGAAGGTATCCTTGAAAAAGAATGCTGCGATGTGGAGATCGTCAGTGTTGAGCCTGGGAGGAAGTTGACTAACGAGGAGCGCTACTGTCCCAAATTCCCCTGCGGAGATTACCATCGACATGTCAAGAAGTTCAAAGCAATGGGCAGTCTCGCTCCAAATTTTGAAGAGACTTCGCCTGGTGAGCAATTCGCTTCCGGAAAGACGTCAACTACTTGGAAAAAAAATATCATGGCTGCGATTCGAGAGAGACGTCCTCGCAATCCAGCGGACCACGCGCCTGACTCCTTCCATTTCATTGAGGGAGGTAAATCAAGATATAGAGACCTTGATGACTTGGAGCTTTCTCAGGTCCACATTGAGCGGGAAAAGAAGTAAAGTCAACCTTTGATTGATGAATGGAATTAGTATTAATGAGCTGGTGATCACTGGTGTAATGGATTGGTTTTTATTGATGGATGGATTCGCTTTGAATGGGCTGGGACGCGGTGTTGGGAATCAATGTATTATCGGTCTGGTCGTCTTGAAGTTTTGATTTTCGAATTTGCGCCGAGTAACGTTTTTTTAAGGGAGATGGACAACTAACTTGCAGAGGAGTATTTATGGATCAAGGCGATATCGTGATACTGCGCAGTACCGGTATCTTAATTTCGATTGATAGAGAAGAAGCAGGATAATAATCATGATAATAATTAAAAATAATGATAAACAATAACACTGAAATTGATTATGACAACGTCGTTGATGTGAAGTTCTGTGATAGTAGAGAAGAAGAAGAAGAAAGAAGAAGAAATGCACAGACCAAGTCATCTCTTTTCAATCCGCTAAGTAGTAGACCGACGACCACATGAAAGGAAGCGACGACGAGAACGAAACAGGAGTCATCACTTAAGATTATTCTATTCGAGATGTATCGTTCCTTCCTGGGCGCGATGGTTCGGTGTGTAAATCTGATCGATGACGATATGAGACGACATGAAGGGTCAAGCCTGATAAATACAAGTATAGGATGTGAATCATGTGATGTTGTCTTTCCTTTGCCATCACCGACAACGTTGACCATTGTGAACAGGTAGGTAGTATCGTTTAGATCATATCGCCAAAACCCATCTTATTCTCTTCACGACGACTTTATGTGGTAGTTACGCAATATACCTACAGATCATGAAAATGTCAAAGATGGATGTAGGAGATGCAGACGGAGTTGGATTAATAATTAAAAGATCTGTGCTGAGGGTTCCACAAATAAGAACCCTGCAACGACAACGACAACACAAACATGACTTGAGGATCCTTCAACTTCTTCAGATAACACGATTGTTTGGTGTGTCAGACTCTCTCTCACCGTTAGTTGCTCGATTTATTTTCGTCGCTGCAAAGTTGCATTCCTCGAAAGCATGGCGAGCTCCCTTGCCTACAGAGCGGCTGGCTTGGTTGCCCTCATCGCAATTCTCTATCAGTTTTTCTTCAAACGCATTATATTCGATGTTGCCGGCTTTGGGCGTTCCGTTTCGACAATTGACGCGTGGAATGCAACTTGTGAGAGAATTGACAATCTCGGCATCGAAGCCTGCGAAGATATGTGGTTTCATCATGCCAGTGGATACCTATACATGGCTTGTTCTGATGTTCCAAGTCGATTAGAATGGCTTCCTGCGTTTGTACTTTCCTAAGATTTATATTCCAATCAATGGCCTTTCTTCTTCTCATCGGTGTGGTATCGCTTGACTGATTCACCGGACCTACTACAGTGCCGACCGTCTGAATGCTTCCGGTCGAGGTCTAACAGATAGGATTGCTATTTTGGATACCCGAGGGAGTGGTTCTTTAGAATCTCGGCTTCAGTGGATGACAACCGAGGGGTTCTCTGGTAACAACGGAGATGGTACATTTAACCTTCACGGTTTCGACATCCGTCCAGATCCTAAGACTAACATCTTGCGTGTTTTGCTCATCAATCATCGACCTCCAATGGATCCTATCAGCGGTGCCTCACTTGATGCTGTCAGCCTAGGTGCAAATTCTACCATTGAACTGTTCCACATTGAAGCTGGAAGTGGTTCTATGAGACACATGAGAACATATACAGATCCAGCAATACATGCCCCAAACCAAGTGGCCTGGGTAAATGATGATGCTTTCGTATTTACCAATGATCATAGTGCAAAGGTTGGATTTGTAAGTTCAACTATCCCTTTTATAATTTTTCAATAACGAACTAAAGAAATCCGCAGCGTCGTCATTTAGACATACTCCTTGGAGGTGGTAGTATCGGTTACTGCGATGCCAGTACGAATCACTGCAACATCGCTCACTCATCTGGGCTGACTGGTCCTAATGGGTTGGTCACAGGACGTGATGGACTCATATATGTCCCAAATACAGTCTTACACGAAATTCACATTTTCTCACTCACCGAGGAAAACACTCTCTTAAAATTGGATACGCTGCAAGCACCATACCCAATTGATAACATGAGTGTGGATAAAAATGGCGACATTTTTGCTGCTTCGTTCCCACAAGCCTACAAATGGGCACAGAGTTTAAATGACCAATCGGTCCAGATTCCCGCGGCTGTTGTACGAATTCGAAGAAAAGGAAATGATTTTGATCACATGATCAAAGGGGGCGTAAGAGAAGGAAGGGATCTTGGAAAGAGTAAGGATGGCTATCTTGTTGAAACCGTGGTGGAAGATGACGGAACAATTTTGTCGGCAGTGACCACCGCTGTTCATGATGCGGAGAAGGGGAAATTGTACCTAGGAGGCGTCACAGCACCATTTATCATGATTTGTGAAATGAAGAAATGAGATATCTTCAGTGGCGTAACTCAAGTGAGTCAGAGAAAAAGTTGAATCTAGCTTCAATAATAACTCAGAGTCCACATTGGATTCGTTCCTTGCACTAATCTTGCAAAATTCTTCTCTATCTTGTTCTTCTCGCCCTCTTCGTATGGTATCAAATATAATTGAAAGGATCAACCGGAAGAATTAGGGATTGTTGAAAAAGGGAAAGGCGAGAAGGGGGAAGAGGGACGGGGATGGGGATGTGGAATGGCTCCAAATGGCATGAGTACCTATCGAGAGGGATGGGGAACCTAATTGGCTACAAGTACAGGTAACAGGTTATAAGCATGAATCAAGGACTTCAGGCATTCTAGGAACCAAAACCTTTCATCAGATGACTGACAGACTCCGATTAATCTTTTACAACAGATATGCGGAAATCATGAGGCGAAATCAATATTTCTTATCACAACCGGTAATCGGACGATGCAATGTTAGTTTCAGCGCTAGTCCCGCTACCAAAAGTTTAAAGTACGATGAACAAGTGTGAGCAATTGATCCCTGCAAACTCCAATTCGCCATCATGAGAGACCATAATTCTTTTGGCAAAATATATATACAACTTATTGCAAATATTTCATAAATTATACCTGGGTAATCTTGTAATTGGAGAAAAGCAAGAATTAGCGACTTTCACTGGGTTGTGATGCCCAAGATCACCCACCTACCTAGTAGGTATGATGTGGTGAGTGATAATACTTAGGTGGTGCTCAATCTAGCTAGCTTGTACTGGAGTCTACTAAAGTCTAAAAGTACACCAAAGTCCAATGATCTACAACTTCGATCTTTGAAGTCACATGCATATGCTTCATCCTTTCTGCCGGCCCTACAACTGCGAATCTTTGAATTCACGTGGGTATGCTTCATCTTTTCTGCCGGCCTCTTCATCGTCTTCGACCCAGTACATGAAGAGAATAACTACAGTACTCGACAACCTCGAGCTCAGAACTCCACTCTACGCCGCCTTTCCTTTTATTTCCTTGGTTCGAACTTCATTGGGCACTCGTCATTTCGTCAACCCCTCGCCAATCATAAGCATGCAATCATAGAAATCATCAACACCTGACACGCTATAAACATCACCATCTTCGCCCCACACACTTATATGCCGGTAGTCAAGAGACTAATCCTAATTTTCTCTTATGCTATCCTTGGCATTATCCTCGTCACTCAAAATTTAGCTCTCTTAGCCCCTTCACTAGTCCTCCCACGCTAAAAAAATATCTTTCAACTTACCATATATAAATTCCTCTCCCTCTTGTTCTTCTTCATTCTTCGTTCACATTTCCTTCCATCACCCCTTACATTTAGGTTCTCACCTGTGAAGACTCAATGTTTACATCTCGCTTATCTCCTCAACTTGACGAAGGTGCTGCTATGGATGTCGATGGTACTTCCGTTGCTCCGCCCAACTCTCCTCATGAGACCACAGGAATGTATTTAGATTCTGTTCCCACCGCTCCATCTGGCTCTCATTTTGAGACTCCAGGAATGGATTTGGACACTGTCCCCGTGGCTCCGCCCAGCTTTCTTCTTAATCATCCTACCACCAGTGAAAGCCTGAGTCCTTCTGGCACTACTCCCAAGGTCTCCAATCCACGATATGAGACTTGCGTTCAGCGCTTGCTGAGGGAGGCACGCGCCCGGGAAGAAAAGGAAATGGGAAATAGTGGGTCTTTAGGTTTTCGTCGGAAGCTTGGACACAGTGCAGTCCCCCGTGCAGCCCCATCAGCTCAGCACCTAGAAATTCGGACCCAACAACGTGCACAAGTGAGAGAGCGCATGCGGTTGATGCGATGTATGTCTTCCTTCTTCGTCCCTCTTTTCCTTTACCGTAGCATCTTCTCTTCTTTCCATCACAAAATTCTGACTGATAGTATTCATCATAGCATTAGAATTTCGCTCGTCATCACCGACACAGAGAGCCGAAATGTTAGGTATTCAAAAGAAAACTAGCGAGCAAGCCAACAAGCAATTAAAACGCCTCCTTCCTGCCGACCAACCATACCAAATTTCAAGTAGCGACGTCGCATTAATGGAGGCCGGAGAATTGGAAATATTGAAAGATCTGAATCGTGAAGCTAGACGTTTCACCCTCTGTCTGATAGAATCCACGCGGAGAGATGAGGAAATACGTATGTGCCCAGAATCTTTTCTGTGATATAGTTACATTGTGTAGTCTAGCGATATACACTTTAGAGTATCATCAACTAACGTGTCAATAACAGGCTCCGCAATGTTCAGTGGTGCGCTCAGAGCGGGAGATAAGAAAATTGCGGCCCTTAGAGCGAAAGTCGAGAAGCGCCTAGAGAATTCCTTCGCGGCCCTTGATGTCAAAGATGATTAAGGAGGTTCTGCGGGGGTTTTGGGTTTGAAACATATAGCGACTCGTCAAGCAACATAGTTTCCGGTTGTGAAAACACTGGATTGACTGAAGTGGAATTGATACCCTCAATATCTCTCCAATGAGGATTGACTATCATCTGTTAAGTTGTAGCGCGTGAATTTGGGATAGTTAGATTAAAGGTCTAACAATATAGAAATAGATGGGCTATTTCAAATAGGATTGTATTGATGATGTGAAGTGAGTGACTATGAAGACATCGCGTATCAAATGTTTGAGTATTCATGACATAGGAGCATCGCCGGTCTTTTGATCTCAATTTCCCAGCCGACCTTTGAATACCTGGATAATTGCGATGCAGTTAACCATTGTACTTAGGTAAATCTTCGATAACAGTTCAGTAACAACTCCAATATCGGCGGTCACTTCTGCATAGAGGCGGTAGATGTCACATTTGATCGATAGCCAAGGCAAAGAGTGAGGACAAGTATTCGAGGTTATCAAGCAGATGCAGGAACCCGACCAACGCTGTGATACCATTTACTTATCACGAAACTTGGAATAAGAGTGCGGGAAGATCATATCTTTTCGCGAAATAAATATGTAAGCTCATCTTCCAACGGCTTGATCACATCCTGATACACACCAGCCCTAGTCCCCGCATCCTCCAGATTCACTCTTTGACCTGCTGGTACCCATGGGGTATCCAAACATGATTGAATGGCATCACGATATCCAAGAGAACAATCTTCGAGAGTCTTCACTACGCGATTGGCGACTAGCCAGTCGGTGTTTGCGTTTACTTCTTGTCGTTCGGTCTCGGTGTGAAAATTTTCCATCAGTCTTCCGGTGTGGATTTCAATGAGGAGAATTCCCAGCGCCAGTATACTTGGGTTTCGATGGAATTGGTTCAGATCCAATACTGGTTTCTTTTCGTCGATGGCGGTGTCAAAGACTGTAGATAGGTAAGGGCGTTGGAAATCTAGGGTTCCAGTGATGCCGTGAAAGAAGAATATGTGGTGTTTATTCCATTCCTTATTTTTCCAGTAACTTTCGTGTAGCTGTAATAGTGAGTGTGCGAATATGACGGCTAGTCTTCGTTTGGTGACGAGAGGCAATTTTATCGATTTCTCCAGTACCGTCTGGAGCGATTCGGCTTGTGCTGCTCCAAACTTGGGGAGTCTCTTCGGAATGGAGCGGAGCTGCCAAAGCATTTGATCATTTCCAGTGTCTTCGACCAAGAGCTGAAGACATTGATCAATGGGCCCTCTACAGTTTACTGTTTCGCATATTTTTTGTAGAAGTGAGCGGTCATCTTTAGTAGATCCGCTATAATAAGATGAAACCATATTAGTAATGGACTTGTCGAAATTTGAATGAGTGCCAGAAACTAACCCGTTTGACCTCACAACCACGGTTCCTTCTTGCCATCTCCCCAATTTCAAATCTTCTTGAACGGAAAACAAGAAATCAAAGTCGATTTCGGTTACCGTCAGTTTCACGGGATTTCCTCGAGCTTTCAAACAAAACTTGGCTTCGTGTTGAGGAGAGCAATTGCAGCTCCAGCATTTGGCAAGAGCTTTGTACAGCTTTTGCGAGAGTGACCGCAATTGAGATGACGGAACGTCTTTTGCCCCCGACGTTAATTTTTGAGTAGCAGGCTCCTTTTGCGCTTGCTCTGTCAAACGAAAGAGTCTTTTATTCCAAGTTGCAAGATTCTTCAGGCATATGGTTCGCTCCTTCTCTTTTTTCCAAAATCGTATTCTTTCCTTGAAGGTACTAGTAGTATCGCCTTTCTCTCTATCGGCGGCAAACCCCTTCAATTTGCCAAACATCTTGGATTGTTCCTATGTCTGATCAGTTACGATGAACACTCGCACTATTTATATATATACTCACAACATCGTTCGATAATATATGGATAGTAGGATCTTTTATCAACTGAGAAAGCAACTGGGCAATTTTACCCATCACATGCAGAAAAGCATCCAGATCCTCCTTCGATCCAAAATAGTCAAAAAGTGCTTGAGAAACATCCGCTTCTGCTTCCCAAGCCTCCAAACGTATATCTATCGTCAGTGCAGCCTTTCTTTTGTCGGATAAGTAAGGCAGCGATTTAATGACCCCCAACGTCTGACGGTCCAGCTGAACTATTTCCCAATAGAACTCGTCATAAAAATCCATGAGCTTTTCGTCGCGTTCTCGATGAGAGATGGTCTTTCGAATGGTTTCAACGCCATGTGAGTATGCTTTTGCACCCTCGATGAATAGAGGCAGAACAGCTAAGACTAACCCGGTCACTTCGATACCGCTCATATTTATTCACGTCGTCTACGAAAATCTGAAAATATATTGTTGCTGTATATTCGAGAACCTATCTTAATGATCGTGAGGCGGAGTTTCGCTTCCATAATCAGAAATGATTTTCTTGAGTAAGCAGATTTTTCCCATTGTGGCAAAGATCCCGTAGGATACAGGGAATAGAGGCCATTTTATTGGTAGAAACGGACAGGCATAGCTGCAGCACGGGAGATTATGCCGATGTTGTACTGCGAATCATGTTACAGTACACATCAAAATTTTCTCGATGCGGCAAACATGTTCCTTTTCTTCATCACCTTTTTCGAATGTGATGATATCCAAGGAATCATCCTGTATTTGGTTAATCAACCGAATTACGAGTAGCGATGCCATTACGTTCGGAGTCACGCCAAAATCCTGGAGATTCGATTGCTGAAACTGCTAGAAATGTGGCGACGGTATTTGCACGTGGCCGAGCAAAACAACTTGAGCCGCATTTGCGATCAGAACTAGAGAATGAATTAGGAAGATTCAAGATCTGGGCAGGCAACTTAGGAGTCTTTGCTCCAGGTCGAGCATCTGCGGATTACCGACTTCGTGATGATGCTGATATCAAAGAAATCTTGATTCAAATGCTTGATCGACTTAGACAAAGCACGAAACAAGCGATGGATCCCCCCAAAATATTGGAGGAGCCGGAGGAAGCCGAAGAAATCGATGACTCGAGTACATCATCAGAAGATTCAATGGCCATTAGCTTAGACAAAGATTCGGATGCGGCGTCCGACACGGATGACATATCCGGTCCTCAGAGTGCTGATGTCGTAGCTAAAGCGCTCACCACAATCAAAGACACCATTACTCGACTGTATAGGCTTTCGACCATCATCAAGAAACCTAGTTCATCGAACGAAAATGTGAAAGTGGCAAACTTCATCGCGAAAGAAGAAGAGTCGGAAGAACTCAAAGAGTTTCAAACTTCTGTCCGCTGGCAAATACATTTCCGGCTTCCCGATGCCTCACCGGCCTTACTGGATAGATTAGTCGATGCTGCAGTATTTCGAAGGAAAAAACTGGAATATCGAGAGCGTCACAAGGAAAAGCTAAGACAGGGTGTTGGGCATTCCCTCGCGTCTGACTTGGCCGTTCCTATTTTGCTCAAAGATACAGTGTTTCGGCCAATGGGAGCCCAGCGTAAAGGTGCGCCAGTACTCAGACGACAAGCAGGTTCAACCAGAGATTCTTTGAGTACGATGCAGTATTCTGCTACGGAAGCTTCGTCTGTCAATCGCCTCAAATTTGCATCCTATCCGAAATCAGTCGCACTTTCGGGGATCACAAAGTCAGCAGTTGCCCGCCGAGAACAACTAGATATCCCTGCTCCACCATCTAGGTTAGTGGGAGAATCTCAGGAAGCTGTTTGTCCTTATTGTTTTCGCATTGTTGATAAGGAAGATTTAGGGCAAGCTCGTTGGAAGTAAGTTTTCTCATATCCGATAATGTGTGAAATCAAAGCTGATTATTCGCAGACGACACATACTTCGAGATATTGAGCCATACGTTTGCCTTTTTGACGGGTGCGAAAAGTCGACGATGTGTTTTGCAACAGTAGATGACTGGATAAATCACATGCAATGGCAACATGCCGTAGTATGGTGTTGTCAAGTGGCTGATCACCAAGCGACTGTTTACCATTCTGAGGATGACTTCACACTGCACTTGCGCCAAGAGCATAAAACTGCTTTCAACGAGTCTCAGCTCTCTATGATCGTCAAGAAAGCGGTACAGCCTGTTTCGGATCTTTTCGGCACTCTTGCTCTCGCTTTGGATGGAGATGGCGGCGAAGCGAGCAAGGTAGGAGTCTGTCCACTCTGCCCCTTTTCCCTAGACACTTCGAAGCATAGTTCTAGAATGGACAAACTAGAGGTAGCGATAACTTCGACCTCGGCATCTAAAAGACTTTGCAATCATATAGCAGAACACATGGAAGCCATTGCTCTCCTATCTTTACCCGAACGCGAAGATCTCGATGATGCGGTCACAAATGAACGAGAATCGGAGAACACGTATCACAGCCTCGATCAAGATGCAATGGATCTACCATCACTGACATCGATTGTTGATAATGAGGACACAGAGGGAGCCACAGAAGAACCGGATCTTGAGCATCATCAGCCTGAGCTTTCGGGCTGGTCGGAGTATATATCGAGAGCTGACTGGAATCATATTCTGGAAGACAAACGCGTCAAGTCAGGGCAAGATCTTGAACCGGCCCAAGATCCCACACTACAGGAGTTTGTGAGGAGAGCCAGACGCGCCGAGATGTTTCGAAGGTGGAAGATTGATAAGATTCCTCCTATTGTTGTTTATGATCCGGATGGATTAGAACTTTCAATCAGCAGAGGAAGACGCGACTTTGATACAGTAGTCAATGTGCCCAGTATAACTGTGAGCAACGAGCATACTCTTGAAGATCATATCATAGACAAAAGCCCCAGGGATCTCGAATCGGTATTTTCGCCGAGTGTTATCGATCCATTTCTCAAATATGATTCCCCTGAGCCACCAGGTGTTACAGGTCAGGGCCCCGATACAGTTCTATACACACCATCTGGCTACAGTGTTACAGCCGAAAGTCTAAATGATGAAATGAACGAATTCATCATGCGGGATGCAGATAGGGTTTATCGTGAAAGCGTCATGTCTACGAGATGGGTTTACGAAGCTTCGCGTTCTGAACATTCGGTTCTTGACAAATACGATGAAGAGTGGTGGGAAGATACTAAGTGATGATAGATCCTCAACTGAATCCTCGATATGTTCTCTGCGCAATTATTGCCTCTGTCTATTGGATATCTGAAATGGACACAAATAAAGAAATACGATAGCAGTGGTGCTTAACAGCCACAGCCTTTGGGTCTGTAAAGCAGACGCTTGTGTTCGAAAGGATTAGGTCTTCCTTCAACTTGGCTGCAGCTTATTTCAGACTTTGGAACAGAAAGCATATGCTGTACTCTCTTGACATTAAGATCTTACCACCAATGATTTGATGATGGGGAAATATATACACCGACCGTGACGACGCATCATATGCATAGCCCCTTCATGTCTAAAGTGTTATGTAATCGACTCTCAGCTTTTGATTGGTGGTATTGTTGATGGAATATGCTTATTCTATTTTGATTGGTTGATATTAGATGACACGGCATTCGCTTAATCTCATCCTTCTTTTTACGGCCGTGAGCCAGAATATTACCGGATCCGTAAACGAAAAATTACGGCCGGTAAGTCTTTTGTGTTGACGTGAGAATGACACGGATACTTGGCCATTGAACTTTCACCGACCATGAGAACGACTTTTGTCCCGATTTGAATGACTATGTTGATAATAACGTCTAGACGTCTAGATGCGAGAATGGCTGCGCATATTGTACATTGCGCCAATGTCTTCTTGTATCAAAATGATTTTGTATATATACCTGCGGCTAGATCTGTTCGAGTGAGCATCTTCATTCATTTACCACAAGTATATCTCAGCCTTCTACAATCGCTACGAATACTCCCCACGCTACTATCTACAACTTAATTTACACTTTCTTCTCAACTCATCTTTGCTTTACAAATCACAATGTCCGAACCACTAGAATGCACCTCCATTTCTCCCGAATGCCCCATCGAAGCAACCGTCTACGGCTACACCCCCTCCCTAGGTCTCAACGCCTTTTTCCTCGCCTTCTTCGCGCTCGCTGGCATTTTCCACCTCGCCGTCGGCATCCGCTACAAAACCCATTTCTTCGGCATCGTTATCACTCTCGGCTGCATAGGCGAAGTAATCGGATACCTCGGACGCATTCTCCTGCACAATAATCCCTGGTCAGGCATTGGCTTCGAAATCCAAATCGCATGTCTTATTTTCTCGCCTAGCTTTATGGTAGCATCCATTTATGTGACGCTACAACATGTGGTTCAGATTTTTGGGGCGCAAAAATCGAGGATTCCCGCGAGGTTTTATACGCGTGTTTTTATTGCGTTTGATGTGTTATCGCTGTTGTTGCAGGCGGTAGGAGGGGGATTGGCGGCTAGTGCTGGAGAAGATCGGAAAATGATGGATCTGGGGACGAATCTGATGATTGCGGGGATTGTATGGCAGGTTTTTACCCTGCTGGTTTTTGCGGCGTTGGTAGTGGATTATGGGGTAAGGATGAGGAAGTCGTGGGATGGGGTTCCAGATGATGCTCGGATTATGGCTGCACAGAGACCGTTCAAACTTTTTTGCATAGGGGTGACGGTGGCGTTTGCTACTATCTTTACGAGGTGTGTGTATAGGATTGCGGAGATGGTGGGGGGATGGGCTAATCCGATTATGCGGGATGAGGCGGGGTTTGTGGTTATGGAGGGATTGTGAGTTGTCTTTTTCTTATTGTGTCTCAGTGGGTTGAGAAACTAATGGGAATAGTATGATTGTTATTGCGGTATCGTCGCTTGCGGTCTTTCATCCTGGATGGTGCTTTCCGCAACTCTCGAGAAAGGTGTATGTCGAGATGGAGGTGGAGAGTGTGGAAATGAGTGGGAAGGTAAGAGGAGCTTCGGAGTCGGAGTCTGTGTGAATGAAAATGAGATATGAGAAGTGGTTAGGATATCATATGATTGATAGATGATGGATTAGTTCAGTATTGGAGTTACGAGGATAGTTATATAGGCGGGTAGATGGATGGACAGTGAACTCTAGTTTTTCTTTCTCTCGTCAGTTCTTAGCTACAATTTCTAGTATAGTGCTTCTTATCAGCAATGTCGGTCTTTCTTCGGTCTACCTACGCCCCGTCCTCCTTCTCATCTTCTCCGCTATCTGGCCCACTTCCAAAACCTTGATGCTTTATATACATGGTAGGAGTATATGATTCCAAGTCTGATAAACTGAGGATAAGTAAAATCGCTCAGTACCTACAGTAATAAGTTACCCATAACGGAGGCCGCTAACAATTGGCGCCTATTTCACCCCGCCCCCAATCACTACCTGGGATCTGCTTGAAGAAATCTGCGAAGAGACTTTCTATATTTTCTATCGACCTCATCAAAGTGCGCCCAACATAATGTAAGATTATGGGAGTATTGGATGGTCATGTGCTGTGGTGGAGTTCAGGATGGGTTTGGAGCTACCGGAGTTCAGGGTTGTTTATTGGTGGAGGTTTCATACAAGACATGGGATCTTGGAATAGCCACCCCCAAGGCACAGTCCAGAAGGAGAGGTAAGGTGCTTGAAGGTTCATATGGGACTTGGGATCTTGGCACACACAAGAAAGAGAGGTAAGGGACTAGAAGGTCTATATAGGACGTAGGACCTCCTTGGAATAGCCTCTTCCTTCTGTAGCTTTCAGTTTTGAGAATACAAGTTACCGTACACTTATTACCTTTTTATTTATCCCTTACACATAACCTCCGCTATCCCCTTCGATGGGCCTTTAAACATTCAACATTCTCCTCGAGTCAATACTCCGTCCCAATCCGTCATGCTGTTCCCTCAACCGCATTACCACGCACTCCGTCTCCGCGTCATAACGCCACAACGTTTCCTCTAGTCGCTTCTGATCTAACAACACATCCAAACAATGTAGCACATGCTCTGATTGGACCAGAAAACCGTCGTCGAACGCACTCGACGATAACGTCCTGTTAACCGTCGACGCCGATTGAAGTTTACCGTGCGCCTCGTTGATGACTGCACCGACGCCCGTGACTATTCTCTTGGTGTCTGATTGCGAGGCCTGTATTTCTTGGACTGTCGCGTTGAGATTGATTTGTAGATCAGATATTTCTTTCGCCTGCTGTGTAAATCGATCGCCCTGCGCCGACAACGTTTGCGCTTGCTGTTCTAGCTGGTGGCCTTCCTGCTGATAGTCTTCTATCTTAACGGAAGTGATGTAATTGTTGGCTTTCGCGTTGCTAGGATGACGAATGTCAGTCACAGCTTGACATCGAAAAGACGTGTCCTGGCACTTACTTCAAGCACCGCCTGGTGATCGGATACGTCAAAAGATTCACGCCAGGGATGAATTTCGTCGTGTTGTGCGCCTATCGCTCCTATCAGCGTATAATCTCGAAAGCTGGCTCTGGTTTGCTCACAGCTCTCCACCGATCATGCTTTCTGATCGCTTTCCTGTGCCCTACCTCTGCTGAGGACCTGTTCTCCAGATTCGCGCCGGCCGCCGCGGCGTTCCTGTTTAGCTGTTGCTTTACGCCCTGCAACTCACTCTCGATCTCTGACCCTCGCATCGCGACTTTGCGACTCAGATCGTTTCCCTGATCCTTCAAGCGCACGAGATTGCTGAAGCACCCCGCGGCGCGCACCTCGACGTCGCCTGCCGACTTCTCGAGCGTGCACACGACACCAGAGAGCTGGCTGAAGGCCTTGAGGGAGTCATGGAGCGCGGTGGAGAGGGTCACGCGCTGGTGTTTTTCGATGTGGATGGTCGATTTGCTATGTGTTCTGCGATACCAAAATTTCAAGCGAGATCGCCATTGTCGCCGATTCGGCGCATGCTCAAGGAGCCACGTGATATGCTTTACGAGAATCTCGATCTTCTCGAGGCTGGTCAGAAAGTGTTTGCGGGCGCTGATGAGGTCGAGTTGAAGGTCGCTCCATTGACTGTGCAAGATGTTGGCATTTTGACGTAATGTTCGAAAACTTGCAGTGAGAGATGCCATTTCGTTCAGGAGCGCTTCGTCCCCTGGTAGGGCTAATGGAGCTGGTGGAGCGTGGAAGTCAAACGTCATCGTTCCGATGGCAGTGAATGGGATAATCATCGGCATTGTAGGATTCACCTAAACGATTTAAGGATATTCTCGACACTCTTTCCGGGATTTGCAATCAATTTCTCAATTACAGATGTAGATTTGACTCCTTGTCAAAAACACAAGACTGACAAACTCCATTCTAGTCAGAAGGTTCTACTACCCAGGGGGACCTGCGCAAACGGTTATGACTAATAACCCTCCAGCGATATACTATGAGTGGTGAAACTTATGGGAGTTATGCCAACAGCATACTGCATGCATAGATTGTAAGAGGATGTCTTGGCAAGTAGCACCCTCGCTGTAAGTGAGATTGAACGAACTCTCCTACTCCTATAGGAAATCGTCTAAGCCAGCACTGTGCTACCTAGCCGCTGCTGCGGAGACGCAATATCTTTCGAAATGCGCAGCAAGGCTGAGAATGAGAGCAATAGGTAGTGAAGTTTCAGCTGTGCTATAACACACTTTCATCAAGTAATTGCGACTCTATCCAATTAACAAGGATCATACACTTGGCAATATCGAACACTACCGCAATCAATATAGTGATACCAAGGCTGAGTAATTCGGAGGCCGCGACAGTTTTGGAGGCAAAAGTAGATACACTCATGGATTAATGCAGGAGGGCTTGCACACAGTAAGATATTTTGCAGATACCTAACGCTCGTACATACCTCGGAATATCTCGGTAGTTCGCCTGTGTAACAGTAAGCGCTTTCACACTGCCGCACCTGGCTTCTATAGAACGAGATTCACAAGCAACCTTGAAAGGGATCTCTTTATGAAACATCTGGTTGAACAAGTGAATCTGGGCTCGTTCCTGACGATTACTGTCATTATGTCCATCTCCTTTCCAAAGTTCTCTCCTCGCAGTTGGAGCTCCGGTGGCCCCCAACACAAAGTCTCATTCTAGTTCGCCATGGCTCAACGCTTTGATATCGGGAGCCTACTCTGCATGCTTCGATCGGCCGCGCCTTACGTTCCTATTCCGTTGTACGCAGAGAGTCTCAGGGTCAAGACAGCCCTTGCATCGGCCACTCTCACTCGAGTTTCTGTCAACGAGTGCCTGAGTGGGTGTATCAAAGACCTCTCCTTGTTGTGGCACATGGATGACTTCGAAGTATTCGGCCTGTCCCGTGCGATACAACAGCCATTCGCCGTCAAGCATATGTCACGGGAACGAATTCGACCTGGCAAACCCACAAATACTCAAGATCCCAAACGTCATCATGGGGCGAACCCCGGTCTCTCTGGCAAGCCAGCCCAGTGTCACGAGAGAGGCTGTTCGGGAGACCATCGTCACCGTTGGCTTCGTGACACCGAAGGAGCATGCTGTCGGGAATTTGGGCTGGCAGATCTACTGGCATGGCTCGTTTTTGCGATGCAGATCACCCTCACAGGCAGTGCGGCATTTATTGTGACTTGGCACGGCATGCACCTCGCGGGCTGCCTCCTCCTTTGTATCACCATCAGCAACAGTATCACCTCCTGCCCAGGATAATAGAGATGCTTTCAAGGAAGACCGAGAGAGAAAGGCTAGAAAGGGGAGCCGCTCTCGATGTTCACGTCATCGCAGAGCAGACAGCTGGAACTCTTCTAAAATAAGTGGAACGCTAACATGCCAGACAATGCGAGCAGAACGAATTCTTTATCAGACTTGTCTAATACAGAAGCGTTTAATTTGGCAATGGAATGGTGGTTTGTTGTTTGTTGTTTGTTGTTTTAATGTCACACAGGGGTTTTAATAATGTTTACTCAACTTACTCAGCATCAGTGATGCTGTATGCTGCTTACTTAGCAAAGATACTGCATGCTTAGCCATCAAGTATCTGCGCTTCTGGTCCAAGGAGCCTGGACGATGCCTTTATGGATAGGCAGGATAGATAGGGGATACCGGTATATGTAAATATACTCAGCCTAAGATTCTGATTCCGATTCTGATTCTGACGACGAAGAATATCACATGAGATAACCATGAGCCAGTATTATTAAGACTAAGGTAGGAAAATCAAAAAGCCTTGAGGTGAATATTAGAAACATAGTTGCCTGAGGCAACCACACACGCTCTGAACCCGTGGGTAAAGTTAAATGTGGATTACTCTCAGATGAATAACTACCTAGAGTCGACTAACAACGCCATCCGCCAAAGGAAAATTGGACACTCATCCCTCCAGATCAATTACAATTTGCCACAATCAAGATTGTACGCTGCTGACGGTATACTAGCGATAGCTTTGCGAGTCTGTCTGCCCACTTCAGCGCTCGCATCCTCAATGATCTTCACTTCTGCAGCAGGAAGTGGCATATACGACCGAACTTCGGCTGCGTAGCTGGATGCCATTTCCGTCACCTTAGCTTGTAGAGCTTCGTAATGCTATTTGGATGGTCAGTCTCCAACATCACCTCTTCAATGCAAATGATTGCTGACTCACCTTTTTCCCAATCTCGACAATATCCTTGGAAGCGGCTTCGGTCGACTCTGTCAAGGCGTGTCGTGCTGTAGCCTGCTCCTCTCGCCCGGCGTCGATGGGCAGACGATTCATCTGTCGTAGCGCCGGGACGATATGTGTTTGCGAGATTCCGCAATAGAAAGAGCAGGCTTCGTTCACGGCGCCGACTTGACCGCGTATCGTCAGCCACATGATGTATATCTCCTGTCACTAGTTAGCTGATTGCCAGAACAGAGCGCCAAGCCTTGCGTACCTGCAGCTTCAGCTCGGAGATCTGATTCGAGCCTCTATTGAAGCCACTGAGGTGGATCCCGTCCAGCAGGCTGGTCGTCTGCTCGCCGCATATGCTTTTGGTGACACGTCTGATACCGAGAAAGAATTTGCGCAGTCTACTGATGTCGTTTTGTAAGGTTCCCATCGTCTTTGCGGTGTCTTTTAGCATCACGATGACGTCATTCTAGACTACAGTCAGCGTCAAGGCCATAACGGCAGGACGAAATCCATCAGGTTACCGTAGTCAGCTCCTGCTCTGCAAGCTGCTCCAGTTTGAGAGCGATGACTTGGATCTCAGATTGCTTTTTCGAAAGCCTTTCCAGGCTCACTTCGTAGGTCTCGTGAGCTTCTATCGCCGCTTTGTGCATCATTATCGATTCTCGATGTCGCTCGTTAATGATGGCGTCGACTGTAGGTTCGTCAGTGGGCTTGTCGAATCATCGGAGAATTGTCCTCTTACTATTCATTGGATCAAGAGCATTGAAAGAGCTCGGATATAGCGTGGGCAGATTCTGCATGATTTAGTCCTGTCCGAGGATTCGAGATCCGTGACACTTACGCAGCCAAAGGCCCTGCCAGGTAGGTTTGCAGCCTCACTCTCGAGTGCCATGGCGATATTCAAAGCCTCTTGGCATTCTTTTTTCCAGCCGTCCAATCTGGGGTTGGAGATTTGGTCACTGTTAAGGACGATAGTTTTCTTGCTACACTGGGCTTCTTGAACGATGTTTTTGCATCCCCTCAATGCAGTTCTGGCATCATAAGAACGCTTTGAAGCCGGCTTCTCGAAATCCAGAAGGGCGCTTGCAATCTGGTTGGACAGATCGCTCAGCTCCTGCTGCGAGTCCTCGATATTACCCTCAAGAATTCCTTTAAGTGCAGTTGCCAAGTTGAAAATGTCTGCCGCTCTCTGATAGGCCATATCATTCGGGTCCAAGGGAGCCTGAGTAGTGGAATTAGAAGCAGGTGCGGCGTTCGATGGACCCTGGTCAGGTGTTGTAGACGCTTCACCTCGTCCAGACTCACTGAAGAAATGAAGGGTCTTCGAAGCGGCAGTGACTACCTGCGGGACGTCCTTAGCCAATGACAGTGCAGTATTGACAGTTCCGAAGACCAAGTTCGAAGTGTTCGCCGCGGCTTTCAACCCGAACAATCGCCATGCTGCTCTCGTTAGCAAGCATTCAGCATTGAGGGTCCTAAGGCGAGCGATACTTACCGGACGCTTTCTTCTGGGCCATCTCCTCTTTCTTTTTCGACTCTTCATATTCGCGGTCTGCTCGCTTAGACTTCTCTTCGTAGTACTTGAGGCTTTCCTCGACCTGGACTTCCTGATTCTTGAGAGCATTTCTCGTTGCTTGCTGAGTGTCGCGATGCTGTACTTCTTGGCCTGCTTGGGGTAAGTATTGAACTTGACGAGAGCAAGAGCATGTTCAGACCTGTTTTGTAACCCGCAAATCGCTCCAGTTCGTAGATCATTTCCTCCCAGTTTTTAAACTGCTCTTCAACATCGTCGACGTACTCGATGCAATCATCGATACCCGTGTTGAGACGCTTCTCGTAGACTTTGAGGGCTGATCCATCAGCCTCTTTCAGGGCGCCGATGAGACGGACAAACTACTAATTGTCAGCACTATATTCCTCTGAGCGATATACCAGATCGTACCGGTGTTCCTTGTCCGCCGAACAAATTCTTCAGCTTCTCCTTCAAGTCAAGCATTCTCTCTTCCGCCGTTGAGAATGTCAGGTACCCCTGCTGAATGAGCTGAATAAGATTCGACGAAAGATCATTGTTACTAGAGCTAAAGTCAGTATCATTCAGCCCAGCACCTAGTTATGAATCTCTTACCGGAGGCATTTGCCCTTGAAGTTACCACCGCTTATCCTCCCGGCTGCATCTGAGAACGCAGCCAAGCGAAGATGACCCATGAGATTGATGACCAACGGCGCCGACGACAACATGTCCTGCACTTGGCCAGGTCTCAGAAGCTCGCTTGCTTTCAGACGCTCATGAAAATCGGCTTCCTGATTCATCATGTTTGCTTGCCACCTCGCGGCGACCTGTTGCTGCAGCGCCATGTTTTGCAGAATTGGATTTTGGAAATGGGGAGGTGAATGGTAATGACAGCTAACGAATACCTCTTCTTCGGTGACCCTTCCTCTTTTTCAAAGAAGCTTCCTCGCTCATTTATCGAATGGAGGATATTAAATGGAGGGGCAACTAATTATGCTTTCTGCCTACTCAGCCGTACACAATGCGTGTCCTCCCTCCATTCCTTGGGATAAGGAAACCAGGGGTCTATCCTGCAAGTCGACGAATTCGTACATCGTGGTGTCTAGAATGACATGCAGTACTATAACAAGTGCAGGTTCAGGCCAGATTTTCTCCCTATTACCCGCTACGCCATGCAACTAATATGCACATATCCTCAGCTCGAATCGAATATAATTTATTTGAAAGCCAATAGAGCCTTGGTGAGGTGTACTGCCTTGCAGATGTCTGGGCATATTCAAGTTGGTCTAAGCCCCAAATTACGCGTTCGCAACAGTACCAAGTTGATTCAAAGTTGTGACCCCCTAGTTAATGATGGCAATTCTATGGCAGGGGTGAGAGTCGATGTGGTTTGCCGATACAAACCGAAGGGCATAGACAGAGCTCAAATCTTTGGGGGCGGGGGCTTAGAGTTGTTCGCCGGAAAGGCTTCGAAGTTCGAAGCTTACAAATTGACAGGATTAGGCATCTTGCAGCTTCATGTAATCTGCCTTATCCAGTAAATGCTATGGCTTAAAGGGTATGTGCCTGCTGTACTATTCATAAAAGTAAGCATCTTGCAGTCTCACATAATCTGCACTCTCCAATAACGGCTGTGGATTAAGGGATAGATACTTGTTATATCTGATTATTATACATTACAATATATTTGTGGTAATATCACTTGTAAAGCTATCAATATAGAATTCGCATAATGAAAATAGGTCTTGTCCTAGTGTTGTATATGTCCAAATTATCCGGATCACATCTTTGGCCAAATTTCTTCCAGTCTCAATCTGCCTAAAGAATTTCTTACAGATTCATATAATCTATATTATTTAATAATAGCTATAGATTAAGGAATAGATGCTTATTATATCTGATTATTTTATTTATATTATTATTTGTAGAGTTACTAATATACTCGTAGAATGAAAGTAGATCTTATTTTAGTATTATAGATATATAAGTATTCGGCATGTCTTATTTAATATATTATATATAATTAGCACCTATGTCCTATGACAAGAGGGTATATTAACCCTTGTGTCACGGGTTCACCACCCTTACCACCCTTACCATCCTTACTACCCGTTCCTAACTAGCTCGGATAGATGCCTTAGGCATCCACCCATTATATAGTCGGCGTTACTCTACGCGCCTCCTTCTCTCCTTGTCGAATATCATATATCTTGTCTAATACTCATCAAAACCCATACCTGCCCCGTGATACCTTGTCTCTTTGAAAAGACAAGGGTTAATATACCCTTTTGGCCTATTTTAATTTTTGTTTAAGAATTTAAAGTATTTAATACTTGTCTTTTAATATTATAAAATTGAAGATATTGTAAAGGAGTGAAGGTAGATATAAAATTATAGGAAGTAGTAATAGTAGTAGTAGTATTATTTTACATCAGGAGAGCAGCTTAGGGCTGCCTTCAGAACCTCCCTAGGGGTATGCAGATGTTCTAAGCTATAATTTTACGATACATGAAATAAAAGTGCCTTAAAAAGAAAAGTGAAAGCCTTATGGCTATTCCCGGTAATTGTGTGTTACCTTCCAATCTTATCTGGTGTAGGCGGGTATACCTTTGTTGTGAGCTTGTTGTTGCTTACACTAGACAGATTGATAAATTACTTTTGATATAACCACTTGAATATTTATTATACTCCAGGGAATGTTTTCCAATATACTTTTGTATATCTTGTTAATATTCAATCAGGTTTTTTATATCTATTAATAATATTGTTTCTCTGTATACACTTTGCAAAAGGAGTTTATAGTTTTATTTGTATTATACATTGTAAATCGGTTTTGGTAGTGGGTATAGTTTATCACAGGTTTTTAGATTTGTATGTATAGAATACAGATTTGTACATTTCACACACAA